CAGCAGAACCACATCATGAGGAGCTGGGGTAGAGTGGGGGACTCCCTGTCTCAGATATCCAGGACAGGCTTCATCCATAGCCCGGGAGCAAAAGGACAGCCGGGAGAGGCAAGTTCAAGCGCACTCCGCAGCCTGTGGCTGTTGGCAGCACTCACCCAGTCAAGGGAGTCCGTGTTGAGGGTGTAGTTGGTGTCCTTCCAGTCCGATTCTCCAGTGGGCTGAAAACTGACCTCCCGGATTGTGAAAATATCACTTTCTTCCTCTCCTTCATTTCCAATCTGAAACAGGGAATGAGACACAAGGTGTACAATTAGCTCTTATTACCCCCAGCTCATCCCAAAGCGAGGAATACTGCACTGCAGGACCAGCAGTAGAGCTGTGCTGCTCCCCTCTCAACGCACGCCTGTGAAGACAACCACAGACACCCAGGAGAACGCAGGGGATCACCTAAGAAGAGGTCAGGCCACCAGCTCAAGCTGCCAGCAACAAGCCTGTGTGTGATTCTAACCCGTCTCACACATCTGCCCACCCTTTATCCACTATGGCTGGCTGCATAAATGATCTGATATGGTTTACAAAGTAAACCACAAAGATCAGTGCAAGTCAAAGGCCCCGATTTTATCCTCTTCCCCCCTTTTTAATCCCTCCTTCTCTTTGTGACCCATCACAACAATAAGATTTGCAAGTTACTGACACACTGTATAAATATATCTTGGTTTGGCCATCCTTATTCACCCCTCTCAAGCTGCCATGCTCTTCAAGGTAAGCTGTGCCTCCCTTCTCTAATGTAATCAACAGGTTGACAAGCAGCCCAAACACCACGTTGTGATGCAAGTTAGGCAATGGAGAGTCTCCTCCCCAGAGAGTGGTTTCTGGCAAACACAAAGCTGGTTTTTGTGTTTAAAAAAGATACAAGGGGGGGGCTGCATTTTCTGCAGATCCAGAAAAGCAAGAGGCTGTCAAGAGCAGTTCGATTCAACAGAGCACAATGACACCACAGTCAAGCATGAAACGTGCAGCAAATCACAGCCCAGAGCTGGCTACAGGTGTGACACAACCAGTGTGATACCCACCTCGTCTTCAGGGTAATGGCAGTCAAGAACAAGGGTCTGTTTTGTATCATCTTTTATTACTTCCACAACAAAGTTTGGAGTTGATGTAAGATCAGGCTAAATAAGAGAACAGTTGCATCAGCACTGGAATCTGAACAGGAGCCAAAGCAGCAATCACAGTACAGCACAACACACAGCCCACCCTGCACACGTCGTTCCCACCCCTCAGCTGCTTCTGCAGTCTCTGACCTGCCCAGGACAACCCAAACTTCCCTCACAACCTCACCAACATCCCTTGCCTTGTTCAGCATCGGTGTCACTGCGGATGAAGCACCTGCCCAAGTTATATTGCTCCTTTACTGTTTTTACCAGTATTTTTACTAACAAGAGTTTTACTGAACAGGAGTGAGACACTTGTGACCAACAAAGCTCCGTAAGTGAAGTCGTGTGAATAGCTTTCTGTCTCCTTGATGCTGCCCGCCAGCACCAGGACTTGCACTAGCTAAGTGCAAACTGCACTATTTACTGTAAGGGGATCGCAAAGGCAAAAGATCCCAGACAGGTTTGGGTTGAAGGGACCTTAAAGCTCATCCAGCTCCAACCCCTGCCACAGGCAGGGACACCTTCCACTAGAGCAGCTTGCTCCAAGCCCCTGTGTCCAGCCTGGCCTTGAACACTGCCAGGGATGGGGCAGCCACAGCTTCTCTGGGCACCCTGTGCCAGCGCCTCAGCACCCTCACAGGGAAGGATTTCTTCCTAACCTCTCATCTCAGTCTCCCCTCGGGCAGGTTAAAGCCATTCCCCCTTGCTCCTTCCCTACATGCCCTTACAAAAAGCTCCTCTCCAACCTTCCTGTCAGCCCCTTTTGGTACTGGAAGGCTGCTCTAAGGTCTGAGTTCCTCTCATTTCCCCTTATAGAACCCTCTTGACCTGCTCTGCCTTTCTGCTGCCAGAGGACGATCACAACCAAGTGACAGATAACTCGGGAAAATCTTCATTTTGTGACTTAATGCTCCCAAATATCAATAGAATGGGGGGGGGAAGCTTTGGTGCTCAAGGCAAAGGTTCCACCTTCCCTCTGTGGACCCATCGCTGAAGTGCACATCAAGACCAAGTTACCTCCTGCTCATCCGCTTTCTGCCCTTCCTGTGGTTCGTCATCTGCTGAGGGTGGAATGCTGTTATTGATGTTGAATGTCACCGTTACCCTGCAGAAGAACCAGAAGCGGTGATTACTGAACACACTCAAAGGGCACCCATCAGAATCTCCTGTCTGAAGCTCCCGTTGCAGGGATGGTGTTCCTAGTGCTGAGTTCACACGCCGAGAGCACAGCCAGGTGCTGCAGTTTGCAGATGCTCAGCTGAATGCAGCTGCCTCTCACCCACTCTCACAACCGATTATCAAGTTTTACTGAACTGCTGCTTTTAACTGCAGGGAACTTTGTAAGGCACAGTAAAGAAGCAACTTTGTGTTAAACAAAAAGTGCCTTTGAGCCGAGGTGGTAGAACAAAGACCCTCTGCAACAGTCAGGACACAGTGATACAGACTCATCAAATGGTTTGGGTTGGAAGGGACCTTAAAGCTCACCCAGTTCCAACCCCTGCCATGGGCAGGGACACCTTCCACTAGAGCAGCTTGCTCCAAGCCCCTGTGTCCAACCTGGCCTTGAACACTGCCAGGGATGGGGCAGCCACAGCTTCTCTGGGCACCCTGTGCCAGCGCCTCAGCACCCTCACAGGGAAGAGCTTCTGCCTAAGAGCTCATCTCAGTCTCCCCTCTGGCAGGTTCAAGCCATTCCTCTTGTCCTGTCCCTACAGGCCCTTGTCCAAAGCCCCTCTCCCGGTTTCTTGTAGCCCCTTTAGGCACTGGAGCTGCTCTCAGGTCTCCCCTTCAGGAGCCTTCTCTTCTCCAGGCTGCCCCAGCCCAGCTCTCTCAGCCTGGCTCCAGAGCAGAGCTGCTCCAGCCCTCGCAGCACCTCCGTGGCCTCCTCTGGAGGGGAAGCGACACGAGCACAAGGGCAAATCTGGGCGCCGTCACCACTCCCCAGCCCTCACTCACTTCTCTCCGGGGACCTTCCGCACCAGCCTGGCCTCGGTGCCGTGCACCTCCAGCTCCCACCCGCCGGACACCTTGGGCAGAGCCTTGTGCTTCTGGATCTTCTTCTCCTCCTTGATCTCATCGGTCAGGAACTGCGCGAAGGCCTTGTCTCCTGCCGGGAAACGGCGGGACATGGGCCACGGCCACCACGTGCCGCGCACGGGATGGGGTCGCGCACGTGTCCCGTGTCCGTCCGTCCGTCCCCCCCTTCCCTTCCCTTCCCTTCCGTTCCCCGCTCACCCTCGGTGTGCAGCCCGCCGCACCCGCAGGACACGCCGCCCGCCCAGCCCCGCCGAGGCCGCAGCAGCGCCGTCCGCCCCCCGCCACCGCCCAGCTGCCACAGGGAGCGCGCCAGGGGCGGCGGGAGGAGGGCGCGGGGAGAGGCCGAGGAGAAGGAGGAGAAGGAGGAGGAGGAGAGGGGAAGGAGGCGGCGGGGCGCGGGGCGCAGCGCGGCGGCGGCGCGCAGGGCCCGGGTGAGCAGCATGGCGCGGTGCGGGCGGTGCGGAGCGGAGAGGCGGGGCGGGCAGAGGACACCGCCGGCCCCGGAACAGAACGGACCCGCTTCCGGCCACCCCGCAACCCGGCGGCGGGCAGGTCCCGGGTTCGAGTCCCGGCCCCGGCTACAGTCTGGAACGGAAACCCAGGAGGTTTAAGGGGGAGGCCGGGGCAGGGACGGCACCGGGAGCACCGGGACTGGGCCAGGGGTGAAGGCGCAAAGGATGCGGGAATATGAGGCTTCCCTGTTGGCTGCAGGATGAAACAGGAGAGTGGATGGCGGGAGCTTCACTGCTGTACATCAACGCTGTTAGTGTGAGCACCGAGCCCTCTGCAGCTTGCTTGGAAAAAGCAGGACTGACTTTTGTGTTCTTTCCTCCTTTGGCAATAAATATCTCAGAGGGAGGACTGACCAAGGCAAACTCTGCTGGCACCGTTTTCCCTTTGTCTATAAGCTGGCACTATTGCCCTCTATTGAGTAGAGCCACAAAATGCCCATTGCTGCTCACTGTAGCAAGAGGGCATCCATACCTCACCACACCCATATCCATCCCCCCATCACATCCACACAGCTTCCATGTAACAAAACATCACCCAGGCCATGGATTTGTGCCACCATGTCTCTATTTTGTGAAAAACTGCAAATCAGTTGTAAATAAAACCCCCTCCCCTCCCTTAACCCGACTGTTCATTAGACTGCCCAAACAAAATGGCCATTACATTTCATATACATATTACACATTTCATATTACATTTTCCCCTAGAGCTGCAAGGTCTGTAAACCCAAGAAATAGATGCAGTGCTTCAGTAATTCCCTGCAATTCAAGTGAGAACTGAAATCGCTGCACACTCTGGAAATCCCAACCCAAAAGGGCTCAGCTCACACATACAGAAGCAGCCAGTTTTGCCTGTGCCCACTCACCTCTGCTTTTTCCTTCTTCTTTTCAAACCAATAGAAAACAGCACTGCAAAGAGGCACAACACAGGGATGTGCATCCGTCTCCAGCACACACCTGCAGACATTCAGGATCACCCTGCCTAGGAACAGGCCACTACTGGCCTTTGTGTGGTCCCAAGATAGCAAACATGGTAAGAAGGCAGGAAGATGATTGATGAGGTAACAGACAGTAGCACCTCCCTTCGAGAAACAGTAAAAGAGGCATTTTTTCCCTGTATGTAGACATTTACAACTTGCTTCATTTATTTACTGCAGTAAAAGCTGCTGAGGACACAAGCACAATCATAAAGTATACCAGGAGTGCTCTTAGGGTTTTATTTCTTTATCTATAAGCCTATTAAAAACTGCAATCTGATACCAGCTCCCCTCCTGGGATACATTTATCCCATACCCTGTACACAGAGCACACTCCTCTTTTAGAGCTCACCTGTTAAAAGGATGATTGTTCTAAGCCACAGACTCTTGTGAGGTCTGTCTCTCACGAAGCACTTTTCCTCTAAGGTTTTGACCTAGGCAAAGCTCCACCGTTCCCATCCGTTCATTACAAACCCAAAACCAGTCCTAAAACCCCCAGACCTGCTGGTGCCAGACCCACAGCTCAGCTCTTGGCCACTTGGAGCTTCCTGCGGAAGTAGTCAGGCGCTGCCTCATAGAGCCAGTCCGCGTCCACCACGCACAGGTCCCGCATGTAGCACTTGTTGGTGTGGAGCAGCCCGTTGTACACCACGCAGGCTGGCTTGCAGTGGAAGAGCACAGAGGAGGGGTGGATGGCCACTGCCTGGTGGGAGTCCATGGTGCGGTAGGAGCCGTCCGGCTGCAGCTCCGCGGCGTTCATGAAGAGGCTGTGGGCCAGGCAGCGGCGGATGTTCCCGGTGTCCGAGCGGGAGGACTCGATCGGCATCGAGAGCTGTGCAACAGAGACAGACACACAAGTGTCTACACAGAGGCTCGTGGGGAAACACAGCCCTTTAGTGGGCTTCTGAGACCACGAATACTGTGTCAGAGATCCTGCCAGCGTGGGGAATAGCGGCAGCTCGGTCAGGTGTGGAGGTTTAGTGACAGAGCAGCCAGGACGGTTGGATCACTGGGATGTGTCTTTCCCAGATGCTGGAGGACCCCCATGAGCTGGCGGTGCTGGAGGAGATCCAGCAAGAACTGATCTTGCAAGGTAAAGTCACTACATGTTTTCTGACTCCTATCTGAGCTTTACTGTTCCCCTCTAGTAATCCAAACCAGCTGAGGCTGCACTCCTTGGTTTTTGGGCCCACCTGCTATAGGCCTCTGTAGCCTCACTAATTCATTGAAACCCTTTTTTACAGTTTAAGTGACATTTTCAGGTCTCTGAGAAGCTAGTAAGAGAGGAGAGCACAGAAACAGGTTAATAGGAAGCAAAAGATGAGCTGCAAAATAGATCAAGACTGTCCTTCCAGGAGTGGGTTTTAGACCAAGGAGCATTGGCAGCAGGACAGAGGTGCCAAATGGTGGCTCCCAAGTCACATGCAGACTGTGAGCACTTCAGCAGCAGCTCCCACACTGTGCCTGATGCTCTGTGACTGGCAGGAATGGTGTGATGTGAAAGCTGCTGCTAAATTGAAGGCCTGACTCTGAGAAGAAGCCAGTCAGCATGGGCTGCAGAGCCTGACATCACCCAGCAGTGCACAGAGCACAGTCACATCCACACTCCAGCAGCACAACTCCTTAGGGAAAAACTTCCTCCATCCATGAAACTTTCCCAGAGCTTCCCTTCCCTCTTTACCTCTCCTCAACCCACTGAGCCTCCCCCAGCTCTGAGATTTGGGGATGCAGCTGCACAGTCAGGAATTTTACCAGACTATGCATGGGAGACTGAAAACAAACCCACATTTTCCTACTCCTGGGACTCGATGCACAGCAAAATCAGTCTGGGGACAAACAGAGCAATACAGTGTGGCAACAAGTTACCTTCACACAGATGTCTCTGAGCTGAGCTCTGACGTCTGACACAAGCATCATGTTCCTGCTGTTGATGAAGTTCTCTCTGCACCATCCCTGCAGCAGAGACACCGGGAGTTAGAAGGGGCCATTTCCTCACCCTGAAAGCATGAATCCTCCAAACACACGACCTCTCTCGCAGAGGAAAAGTGCTAACCTATTTCCTGGCCACACTTCTACCTCTGTCTACTCCCCTCTGTCTACACAGTGCTAAAAACCAGCGCACTGTTGTTCTCTTCCCACTCAGAATTGCTCTGCAAGCCACTGAGTGCTGTGAAACAGCTCCTGCTATCCCACAGGTGGGGAAAAGTGATCACCTGAGAATGACAGATGCTGCAAGGAATGGGGCACAAGAGTCTACAGATCGACAAATCAAACTGAGAAGTCTATAGGGTAGGACAAACCAAAATCTGCTTGACAACACACTCAGTGTTTTTGCAATGAATCCTGCCAAGAGCACGTCTAGGTATTCATCAGCAAGTCTCAACACTCTCCCACTCCTTCCCATTTCCAGCTGGAACCAGGGGAGGAAGAGACATGGCTCTGCTTTAGAACTGGCCTCAAAAAGCTTTGATAACCAGCTTTTCTACAGCTTCTGGAGAAACCTTAGGCACTTGAACAGCTTTCTCTAGTTACCCACTTGTAAAGGATGCACACTGCATCAACCATGAAGGATGCAGATGCCACTCTGCTGTATGCCAAAAAAGCTCCTCACCACCATGAACCCAGCCAGCACTGGCATCCTCAGAGCATCCTACCTTGTTGCCATTGACATTCCTGAAGGCCCTGTAAATGCTGAGCAGGGTAAGATGATCCCCCTCACTGGAGATGAATTTTCTCCTGACAGACTGCACTTCATCCCGCCGAGCAGGGGGATTGTAGAGGACGCTGTCCACAGATAACAGTGACACGATGGTCAGGATCTCCTCTGTACAGTGGAACTTGGGGGACAGGAGGATGGTCTGCAAATCACAGAGCAAAACTCATTTCTGGTCAACCAGATCCACTTCAGACAGGCAGACCCTTCTGCTCACTGGCAGCCCAGGAACTTTATCAAGTATTGTTCAGGACAATGTCATAAACATTTGGGCCTAGAGGCAACTGTAAATCCTCCTATGGGCCCATCAAGCACCTTTAACTGCAACTGTTGTTCTCTTTCCTGGGACTGGCCATTTTATATACTGCACAAACACAGCGACTAAAATCACCTACAGCATCAGACGCTGCATGAAACTGCTGAACAGTGGTGCTACCAGCAAACCCAGAGATCACAAGGAAGTAAACCCTGTGTCTGCTTCCGAGGGGCCAGAGAAAGGAATTATCTTTAAAAAACCCTCCCTGAATTAAATGTCAAATGACAAGTAAAGCAGCACAGTTGCTGTAAATAAAGCTGTGCTTCATTCACATATGGCAAATATACCGGTACAGCTGCAGTCACTCCGGATTCCAGACCTTGCTTAAGAAGTTTGAAAGAGAAATGCCAATGGAATTGGGAAGAGTACATGAGATTTCTACAATTTTTACCTTAGAAAACTTTGGTTCCAGTGGAAAAGCTGCCATCTTCCTTCCCAGGGGGGTCAGGACAAGCTGATTGTCCTTTCGTTCCACAGCTCCCATCAGGACCAGCTGCTCAATCGCTGCTTGAATAGCCTCTGTCAAAAGAAGGACGTTCAGGCTGTGAGGCCTCCTAGCAGGGAAGTGAAGGACCAGTTGGTACCATCACTACTTGTTTTGCCTCCCCCTGGTCACAGGGACAAGGAGTTCCTATTTAGACAAATTAGTGCCCTTGTGGTTTATCCCCCTCCATCCAGAACAATCACCTTTTCCAATTTAAGTGGCAAAACTAAAGCCACCATCTCCAGCTTTGAGCAGAGGCTGAGTGAGATTCCCTGTGGCTTTCTTTGGCAGTCATAGCACACCTTTGTGGGTTTTATGACTCAAAGCTGCTCCCTACTGTTTGGAAGCTGGACTCTCCTGCTCTCTGCCATAATCATGGCTGCTCTGATGAGACTGAGTACCATCAATGAGCAGTAAATGAATCTGAGCCTTCGGGACCACCAGGATGCAGCTTCTCCTTCAGAGCTCTGACCTTTCACACTCCATCTTCTGCAGCTGGACTGCAGACACTCTTTGAAAGCAATTCCTCAGTGACTCATTCATCATTTTCTTCCACGGCTGCCATTGTACCCACTTACTTACCAGGAGATGGTTTGGACATGAAGTCAAAGGTGAGTACATTGGGAATTCTCAGGGCCAGGAGCTGAAGCATCACACTGGACAGGTTACACCTGCATAGGCACAAAAAAAACCCTGAGACTGCTCTTCCTTTATTACTATATTCTTCTTTTTCAGTTGCCTGTAAGCCGAGGTAGAGCCCTCAGACCTGTGCTGCAACTTGACAGAGACTAGTCTGGTGCTGGCTGGTGAAGCCTTACTTCCTAAACCAGGAAGGGTAAGAGGCAAGTCCAAGATCTGGAGGGAAAGTCAAGAGAGCTTTTGCCCATGTGTGTTTGGAGACTCAGACCCAACTGTCCCTGAGCAAATGCTTCCTAATTTTTCTGTTCAGTCTCTAAAGTTATTTTTTTCTTAAAAGCCATTCCATTAGACCCTAGATCCAGTTTTGCTGTTCAGTTCTTTAACAGTACATAAAGGAAGTGTGGTAAGAAGTGGGATGGTATCAGGGTTTCGTCCTCACCTCTGTATCTCGGGTACTGTCATCTGGTTCAACTTCTCAAAGTCATTCTCTGTATAGAGCCGGTAACAGATCCCACTGTCCTCTCGCCCTGCTCTCCCTGTGCGTTGCCAGGCCTGGGCCTTTGACACCCACTGGACTGCCAACACTTCCAGACCAGTTTCTGTGTATGGAAAAGCATCACTTCAGTCAATGTCTGTGTAAAGAACAGCTTTGAAACCAGGTCGGGTTAACAACAGAACATCCCAGGGTCTGCCATGCAAATACTGCTCGGATTTCACTTGGTGCAGCACAGTGAAGCAAAGCTAATTATCACACACTGTGTCCATGAAGAGGAGATTCGTATCTGACAGATTTTTACACCCACATGACTGGCACTCAAAAAACCAACCAAAACCCACCCTTAAACCCTGAGATATTAATTTAGACAGTGCAGAGGGCGTTTTAAATCGGCTCTCAGTGGGGCTCATTGCCTCAAATAACTGCTACAAAACTGAAAACAATCTCTGCACTGTTCCATAGGTTCTCTCACCGGGTCTGTACTTCTTTGCTTTGACCATGCCTGTGTCCACAACGTATTTTATTCCTGGAATGGTGATGGAGGTTTCTGCGATGTTGGTGGACAGGATCACTTTGCGACAGTCCTGGAAGGAAGAGCAAACTAAAGCCAGTCACAAGCCACCTTAGATGAGCTGCAACGAAGAAATGCTGCTACTTTGGCCAGCATGGGTCAAGCATACTTATCACTGCAGCGTGTTAAGACCACATACTATGCCAGCTCTTGTAAATTAAGATAACCTGTAGTTCCCATCAGTTCCAAAACCATGTGCTTACACTTGTGGTAAAATACACCATCCAGGACAGATGTTATCAGTATGGCTTTAAACCATTTTGGTTTCATTTCTGATACAAGAGCTGGATTCTTGCTGAACAGGTACAAAAGGGCCTGAGGTGGCACAATTTCTTTTTCTTAGAGCCCTGCAATATGCCTGGGTTTTTAGCTTTCTGTGGAGACAGTGTTCTCATGGGAAAATGGATAACTGGTACATAAACTCTGAATAATCCTGAAAGATACAGCAAGGCCATGAGAGGCCCAAGGAAGCTTAAGCAAGCAAGATAAGAAGAAGCTAGAATTCACTGAGGTAATGAGAACTGTGGACTGTTGGCAAGCTTTCGAGGTCAAGTTCCCACACCTGTGCTTAACCAATTATGTGCTAGTTGCAAAGGGTCTTCAGGACATGTATCCAATCATAATATGCCAAATCACTGTAAGTGCATGTAAGAAATAGTATTTAAGGGGTTAAGGCTTTGTAATAAACGGCCTTTGTCTGATCATATTGATCTCTGACTGAGTCCATATATTTTCTGCGGCAGCTTTCTTACTGTTTTGTCCAATAACCACTGTAGCTTTTTTGTAATATGGACATAAACTTCTCACGAAATAGGGCAAATTTCAATGCCTCTGCCCTTTTCACCCCCTAATTCCTCCTTCTTTTTATGATCCCAGATGACTTATCATATGCACCAGTTAATGCCATTCCAGCTGCACTGTCTTATATCATACTGGAACCATTCAGACTAATACCAGTGGACAGTGGAGACTGACTTAGGATCAGTACAGACTGCTTTAACCCTTTAAATCCCACATTTCTTCCAAACACTCCTGCAAACTCTTCCTGCTTACCCATCACATCTCCTCACCTTAGGGGCAGCCCGAAAGATGCGATGTTGTTGAGAGTAGGGCAGAGAAGCATAAAGAGGTATCACCATCATCTGTGGGCAGCCGTCAGGGAGATGCTTGGCAATGTCTCGGCAGGTTTTGGTCATTGCTTCGATTTCTTCCTGACCAGTCAGAAACACCAGGATGTCCTGAGAAGCGGGTGCTTCCTGGAGCCAGAGAAAGAAGCAAATTGAGAAGTGAAGATGATTTGGATAGGGAGGGAGAACTGAAATTGTAATGAGATCTTGTCATGAGATGTTGTCCTGAGAGCCAGTCAGCAAAGCAGGTAAGGAAGACGGAAAAGGCACACACGTGGTGCAAGGTGTGCAACAGCCTGAAGCTCCCAATGGATTCAACAGAGCGAGGAGTAAACCGCATTTTGCAGGGTTCAGTCTTAACAGGATGGAGGAAGTGCTTAAAGTCACATCTCTGTTTCATGAAGTAACTGTCCAGGATGTGCAAAGGAGAGAGCCAGCAAGCACCCTGGCAGCTTTGCATACAAACATTTAGTCACAAAATGCCTACAAACTGTTATCTGAACAGATTTCTACTTGCTCTGCAGTTATGTTTTGACAGTAAACAAGAATCATCTTCATGCTACTGTTAGTTTATACCTGGATTTCCCCCCGCAACCCAGTGCTTTTTACAGTTCACCAGTTCCAATCTTTCTTTTCACTTTTGGAATAACACTGGCATTTGTTAACCCCTCCCTTAAGCCAATCCAAATTCACTAACTCAGCATGATCCCCAACTACCTGCTTTTCCCAGAGGATACATCTCAGGAACATCTCCAATTTGGCAGCAGCAAGCTCACACCACCTTTTCTGCCCCAGCAGCTTGTGAGCCTCCCCAGTCAACAATCCATGGCCCCAAAGAGGCACAAACCTGATGAGACAGCCCTACCTGGTGGATTTGGAAGACTGTCACCAGTGCTGCTTGCAGGTAATCACTCTGAGGCTGTCTGGTGTAAAAGACCTGAATGGGATGCTGCCTGCCTTCTAAATAGAGAACAGGAGCTCCATTGAAGTACTCGGAGAACAGGTCAACATCCATCGTTGCTGACATGACAATCACCTTCAACAGGAGCATAAGATGGGTTAGCACTGCAATTTTGATCCAGTCAGGATTAGCCAAAGATCAGCTCCCAGAGACTGAGATATATGCTCAGAACAGCAAAAAGCATGCAGAGTTTGTGAGGGAAGAGTGATCTTTCCTTACTGAAGCCATCAGCTTTGGTATCACACAAGGGTAACAGGTTGGTATGATAAAATAAGCAAAAATGTGTTAAAATTCTTTCTGACACTTAAGAAAGAGAGCTGATACCCACAAAGCTATGCTGCAGAGCAGTCTATTGAACAAGCCTGTGCTAGGACCCCATCAGTCCCTTTTACGCCTTCCCCAACAAAACCAACAAGCTTTCACACACTTCATCACGTACTCACACAAATTCATTACACATCCACCCAACACACATGTGCAATCTCCTTCCCCATTGTGAGCAAGTCATACAGCTGTCATACAGGGGCTCTTAGGAAAAAGGGCACCATGGAGGTGACCAGACAGGCTGTTCAGATGTGTCATATCAGGCCCACACATCATATGCTGGCCACCCTTAAATACTGAGACTTAAAAGGACCTCTTGAAACACAAAGAGTCAAGGCTGACATTTCAAATGCTTTGGCAAATCCCAGGATTTGCCAAATCAAGCCCCAGGCCCTGCCACATACTTTTAGTGGCAGCTTGCCCAGCTGCCTTCGTTTCTTTTGTGCAGCTTTCACCACTCCAAAGAGCACATCGGTGTGGATCGTCCTCTCGTGTGCTTCATCCAGGATGACAACGCTGTACTGCCGCATCAGGGGGTCTCCAATCGCTTCCCGAAGCAGCATTCCATCTGTTAAAAACTTGATTCTGGTTTCATCAGATGTCAGGTCGTCGAAGCGGACACTGTAGCCAACCTACAGGAGCGAATGTTACAGACAGCATAGAGTTACTTGTGTTTCTCATTGGCATTGTACCACAAAGGAAGACTCCAAAGCACTCTGGTAGGACAGAGCCAACTGGAACTGCAAAGAGGCTCTGGAAAGTGTAACGGTGTGTTTGCAGTCTGAGAGCAGTTAATCTTGCAAGTCTCATAATCACCCAAAGGATGCTCCCAACACTGTATCCCAGTTGGCTTTTTCCCAACTAGAAGCTCATTGCAATTGCCCTGAGTTTCCTTTCCTTCCTCCCCTGCTAGAAACTAGGCCATGATCTCCAAAGATTTTAGATAGGGAAAGTCTTTCTCCTCCACTTTCCTCCCACAGATTCACAGGTCTGTATGGATTCAGCACTCTGCTCTCCTTGACAGTGACTTTCAGTACAGGGAGCACTGGAAAAGAGTGCAAAACTTCTTGTTTCATTCATTAACAAGTATTTTTTTCAACTTGAGGAACACAAGAGAATAACCAAGAAGTAAAATACCACAAATACAGAGTCAAGCACATTCACCCATGCCACAGCAGCATGTAAACACAGCCTTTTTTTCCCCATTCAGGCATATTATTAAATGAAGATAACCCCCGTGGCTGTTACTGTCTTTACCATTAAGCCCTGACACGGCCCCACTGTCACTGCAGCACTAAGCTAACTCCCTAAAGACACTGTGAAACAACCTACCAGGCCTCCCAGCTCTGTCTTCTTCTCATCTGAGACTCTGGTAGCTAAGGCTATCGCTGCTACTCGCCGAGGCTGGGTCACAGCGATGGTGCCTTGGCGGCCAATTCCTGCTTCGTAGAGATACTGAGGGATCTGGGTGGTCTTCCCCGAGCCCGTTTCTCCTGAGGAACACCAAGGGAGTAGTTTTTCTATTAAATCCTCTTCATAAACCTCAAGGCACAAACTGTCATAACCAGCCCACCCTCGGTAACAAAGCTGTTACCGCTTTACTACACTTCACTACGCTCCTGTGCGGCCTCCCACCGGCTGCTGCGCTCCCCGGGGCCGCCGGCTGAGGGGAGCCGCGCTCGCCGAGCCCCGGCCGGGCTTATGGCGCTGGGGTGACCCGCTGCCCCCCTCCCCAGCCCCGCCGGCTCCGGCACTCACCGATGACGACGGCGCTGTCGAGGCCGCGGATGTGGCCCAGCAGCCGGCCCCGCACGGGGAAGATGGGCAGGCTGCGGCGCTGCTGCTCGACGGGCGGCGGCCCGCGGGGCTGCCCGGCAGGGCGCGCCGGGACCATCGCTTTCGGCCGCTTGGCCGGCGGCCCCTCACCGGGCAGCCGCATCGCTCCAGCCGGCCCCGGCACAGCGCAAGTTCCGCTGCGACCGCGCACGGGTTTGGCGTCAGCGGGCGGGCACGGCGCGGCCTGCTGGGAGATGCAGTGCGGGACCCGCGGAGCCACGGCAGCGGCTGCCGCGGTGAAACCGCGTCCACAGAGCCCAAAGCCCAGAGCAGAGGTGCAGATGAGCTGCGTCTTAGAGAGGCGGGGTTGACACCTACGGCATCCCCGCTTACGAGCTGTTGGCACGAAGCTGTACCCGGCCCTTGCCGGGCTGCCCCTGGAATGCTGTGCTCAGTTCTGGTCCCCACTCTACAAAAAAGAGGAGGACGGGCTGGAGAGTCCAGAGAAGAGCCACAGAGATGATCCAAGGACTGGGCCAGCCATGCGAGGAATGGCTGAGAGAACTGGGTTTGTTCAGCCTACTAAAAAGAAGGCTCGGGGGAGACCTCATCACCATGTTCCAGTATTGAAAGTGGGTCTACAGAAAAGATGGAGACTCCCTTTTTACAAGGAGTCCCATGAAAAGATGAAGAGTGATGGGTGTAAGTTACTCCTGGGGAGATTCCAAATGGACACAAGAGGGAAATTTTCCACAGAGCAATCGGCCACTGGAATAACCTCCCCAGGAAAGTGCTGGATTCCCCAAGGTTGGCTACTGTCAAGATTCGGCTGGACAGGGTGCTGAGACATCTAGTCTAGGTCATGCTTTGAAAGAAAGGTTGGACCAGATGATCCCTGAGGGCTCTCCAACCTGGTATTCTATAATGCTATGAAGTAACCTCCAACATCAAGCAGCTGAGGATACACCCTCCAAAGAGGAGTCTGGTATTTAAAAAAGACTTGTGGGACATGCTGCCCAAGAGTGGTTTCAAGGGCAATTAAAGCCCAGGTGAGGCAGTAATCTGCCAGCAATAGTCCATTTTGTCCTGTGATACAAGTAAGAACACTTAAAAGTTCCTCCCAGATGCAGCTGTGTGGATGCTATGGCATTACTCTGTAAAGAGAAGAGTACTATCTTACTCTACCAGAGTGAAAGGCAGCGTGTAAGGGAAAGCAGCTTTGGCAGAGAGAGGACAAGTGATCTTACCAGCACATGATTTGAGCAGCCACTCTCAGGCAAGAGCACAACACTACTCCACAGTCAGGTTCTAGATTTACAGAAGGTTTTATCCCAGCAGCAGGGGTGTCTCTTCTCTCCATCCCCACTTCCTTACATCTCACCAGCTCTTAAACACTGAAGTAAAAAAAGGTTTTGATCCAACTCGTAAAGCAACACTGCCCAAAGCGGTTTTAGTACTCCTGGAGAGTAAGATTTAGTCTATTTTAGAAAAAAATAGAAATCTCCCTTAAGTTTTTATAACCCTTAACAGATAAAATGCAGATACAAACGGATTCACTGTTTTGTTTTTCAGAATCGAATACACTGCTTGCAGACAAAACATTGCCTCTTGAGATCCCAACACTTTCATCTCCTGAATTACAAACAAGTTAAAAACCTGTAGCTGATTTTTAACAGCAGCAACATCTGAGACTGAACAAGATGACCACCTGGATATCAAGGCTGAGCCCATCCTCCCACATATAGGAGGAAGATGCAATTTCAACAATCTCTCTTTTTATCTATTACAATATAAAGAGCTACAGCAGTAGAGTCCATAGCATCTTAGGAGTGACTGAACGGGTCAAGCTGAACCATGCTCCTAATTCCTTATGTAGCTCCTCATCTAGGTATTTATAATCAACATCACTTCAAGCTAAATCCTGTTCAGTGTCACTGACCTGTGCTGGACACTCAATCATCCCATAACAAACTTCAGACCACAAATTAAACACCTTGAGCAGACAATCCTGCTTCCTAGCAGTTCCAAGACACGCTTGTGGAAAAACCTTCCATTAATGCTGTTTCTTCAGGGACCTGCTTTTCCCTACTTCTGCTTTTAGCCAACTGCATCAAGACTACAGGATTTTACAAAGGATTAACCAAAAGGATCCACACAACATTTTATTCACCTCATCATCTGAGATATTTGAGCAGTTCTGACTCCAGACAAGTTTTCTTCCCTAGAGCTCCAAGCCATTTCATAACCATTTGGAGTGTGCATGCGTAGGGGGGTGGATTTTGTAGAACTACTTATTTAAACCAGTTAGACTCAAATCTGAACGCACACTCTTGGGGGGCAAAGCCATCAAAATGCAGTCTCAGCCTGGCACGCGTATCCACATAGAGTCACATTCCAGAAACCCAGCTGGCAAAGTGAAACGCCTGCATTATGCTGCATGTTGTATTTCTTACCATTCAAACATGACCGGAGACAATAGCACCTCAGACTAAAAAACCTTGTGCCACTGAAATAGAAACTTACACTTTCAACCATCTTCTAGTTTTATCCAAGAATAAAAAATGAGTTTAAACCCCAAAAAGTTGGGTTTGTCTCCTGTAAAGTTTTCCATATAGATTCCTGTATCAAATAACTTGGAAAAAAACCAAACCACTTTAGAAATCACTTCAAACAAGTACTCATGGCCTTGTTAACTGAAGCTGACAGGAAATGGTTTCCAGTTTTAGGTTTTTGGCTCCACTGGATTAGTATTTTCATTACCAGCACAATAAATTCCCTGACTGGGAAAGACAGGAAGTGGTAGTCTGGAAGTGTCTTGGATCAGACTGCATAAAGTGCTTGTATTCAAAACCATAGAGCTGTCAAAAAGTGTCCTTTCTGCGATGGGGAATGAAAAGTCCCCAGTATGGATCTTTGCTCAGGTCGGTCTCTCCCAGTTCTCACTGTGTTTTGGCACAGACACTTATTAGCCTCCAAGGCGCTGACCTTCTCCCCATGCAAATCCTCCTGGTCGTTCTTCTGGCAAAAGATTGTAATTAGGATCATCTTCTGGTGTATCAAATATTGCTTTGCTGGAGAACAGAACAGAGATTTCCCCCCTTTAGAATGTGTGTTTCACAATAAGACCAAGACCAAATTCTGCACTTGTAACATCATCCCCCCTCAGAAACAGGTTGCTGAAGCATGCATCATTTGTACCCAAGTCACACTTGCTCTCCAATTAGACGCCCCGGGAAGAAGGGCTGGAATTATGTGCCTGAATCAACCAAGACTGACAAGGTTCAGCTAAAAACTAATTTTCGGTGAAGAAATTTTTCCTTCTATCCGTGATTACAGCCCTCTCCACAAGAGGGAACTGAGCAGGAGTAGCACTCAGTACCATGAACACTGAAGTTTTCTGCCAAACTGTGAAATGAGAATGACTGACAGGACAAAAAACATTAGATCTATTACATTTAACACCTCAGTCACTGTTCATACACAGCAGGACTCAGACACGCATCTTTGGTGCCACCAACAGGCAAAGACTAACAAGTGTTATCGAAGAAATCAAAGGTTACCCTTCAGCCCTTGTCCTGAAGAACATAGTTCCCATTTCCACATCTGTAAGATCCTCCCCTCCCTTGTTTGACAACACGAGTTAAATGAAAAAGCCACTACAGGCACAGCACAGTTCTGCCTCAAGCTGCCTGATTTACCAGAAGCTGCTGTGACTGAATTATAAACAGTTTTCCACACAAGCACTTTTTCTACATCATTCACACGTCTTTAGCTTTACAACCAGTACTTACAGGACAGACGGCGTTCTCAGAAGCTTCCCACCACCAGGCTGATTGGGAAAGACATCCTCTAAGAAAAAATATATATGCCCAACAGCAATGCCTAGCATGCAAAGAGAAGTCAAATGGTGATTTTTCAACACTTCTCTTTTACAACTTCCAAATGATTCACTAGAATTTTTAGGAAAAAAAACAACCAAAGCCCACGTTGATTCTTTCACAGAAAATATAAGAGAGAGGATAAAGCACGCTGACATCACATGAAATGCTTAATTCACACTACAAAACATAAGGAAAACTGTTTGTCATTATTAATCATACTGATGTTATAGCTTTATTAGTTGATAAAAATAGTAATATAAGCTATTTTAGTTCAATAGTCTGCTGCCCAAAATCAGCTTACATAACTGGGCTAATTCCAAGTAATAAAAAGTTAAACCATGAGAAGCTTTTTCCATCCTTGTTAAAGCCCAACATATGCTGTGATGTTTAGAAATCAGAAAAGCCTGGTATATAGAACTGGTACTAAATAAAAGGCATTTAGCCCTTGGGTTTTTCCACATGTTGTTTCATGTAGAACACTGGCAGGAACAGATCCTTGTGATTCTTGCAATTGCTTACCCAGAAGATCCACAATGATGGAGTTCCCCAGCAGCAGTGAAAAGCCCATCAATACCCAGGGTAGAAATGGGGCTTGAAAGACGAGAAGACCAAAAAAGTTCATACGGACATAGGGATTCCTGCGGCTCCACACGTACACGAGCATTATTGTGAACGCCTGGCCCAAGAAAACCAAGTTTACAAACAGGCCAAAAAGCTGCAATGGGTAGTTAAAGAAAACCGTTCACCAGGTCATTGTTGGGAGGTCAAGCATGAGAAGTATTTCACAGCACAACTCATAATCCTGTGTTTTCCATACAACTGCTAACTCTGCTTTCCATATTCAAGTAAATCAAATCTACTGGAGATCAAATTCAACACCTACAGCAGGATTCAGTATACTTGCAGCAGGAATAATCTCTTTAATATAATTTAGCATGAAATCACTGAACCACCAGCACTGCTCTGAGATAAACTGAGCATCCTTTCATCCATAAGCTCATTTCCATGATCCTGTCAAGCAGTAAAGAGCCTGAAAGACCAGCTCTGTATTAACAGCACCAGCTGCCCAGCATTCAAAAGTACTTCAACAAATACTGTTATTCCTTGTCCTAGAAAGCATATTATCATCTAAGATTAAAGACGAAAGTAACATGGTTTCAGTTCTCATTCATGTATCTTTAGCTTTAACAAAGCAGCTTGGAATAAAAGGATACAGTCATTAAAAGTCCTCCAAAAAGGAACATAAACACAAAATCTGCCGTCCGACCTCGAAAAGAGCCTTCTTCAAGCATTCGGCAGTAACGGTATCTGAAGCCACAGCTCAGGAAAATCTGATTGCAAATGGGTTTGGAGAAAGACCCAAGTGGAAAAGGATTCAATTCTACCTGAGCTTAGATGTTTTTATCAATTTACTCCATCGACTGGCTCTTTCTGGATACCTCAGCAGAGAGGGTGACCCAGGAGAGGGAAAAAAGGCGACTTGGGATTTTCTCCTGTTATGTCAGGACCAACCTGAAAGATCAGGTTTGTACAGCAAAGTCTTAGCACCACACATACAAATGGCAAAATTCTTGACAACTTATGCAGGAGATCCTGTTGCTGCCCATTCCTGACATCAGTGAAGTCATCATTGCTGAAATCCCAGGAGCTTCATGGTGGAGCAGAACAGGACCTTTGCCTACATGCACACATAGCCACGTGCCTGTGCTCTGGAGTTGTGCTTTCTAAGGAATGCAAGAAAACTTCATGAAGGATACAAAAAGATCATGTTAAATAAAAAATTAAAGCCAACTGGTCCAAAGAATAAGTAGTTGGTGATTAACCTCCATACCTGGAAATAAGACAAATAGAAGGACTTTAAACACGACAGCTTATTTTTATCGCCTAAATAGAAAAGCAGGTAACAATGTAACTGAACTCTCCTTTACAGTCCATGAATCTAAGACTTATGCTAAGAAACAGTGATCTGCACTCTAGCTTCGTTAGCCAGACTGAAAACCCCCAGTCATTTGCCACACTCAATTCTGAGAGGCCAGGCACTCTCAAACTCAACAGCGTCCTTTAAAAACCCCACATACTTCAGAAAACACTTACTTGAAAGTGCTTAAATATTAGCTCAGGGTTGAAGTACAGCTGAAAGGGTGTGATTAGTTCTAATTGCTGGAAAAGAAGAGAACACATGATGGAACCAACACACCAGGTTATGCGCACTCAAGTAAGTAACCCCTTTCTTCTGTGCCAGAAGAGGCCAACAAGTCCCCTGCCAGCAGAACCGAGCCTCGATAACCCCCTCTCCCGTCGGTGTTATTTACTGGTGCTTTGCACCCTCCCAGCCCTCCGCACGGGCTGCCTGCAGCGAGTTCCCCCTTCAGAGCGCCCTGAAGGCCCGAGCCCTGGGTGGAGGTGCCTGAGGGAACCCCTGCTCCCCGGTGAGCCTCACCCCCACTCCCGCGCACCCTCCGCGCCCCGCCGGCTCTGAGGATGGCCCCGGGGGTGCGGACTCACCACGGCGGCGGTGGTAAGGACGCAGGCCGTGGTGTAGGCGCGCGTCACGGGCGGCACCTGCAGGTACTCCTGCCGGAAGGTCTGGTACGCCATCTTAGCTCTCCCCACCCCTCTTCCGCCGCGCCTCTGCGTCTGCACGCACAAGCTCAGCCAACCCCCGCCAGAGCCAATCGGCTCCGGCACCGCCCTTGCGCTCTTATTGGTCAACCCCTCGCTTTCCCCGCCCCCGCGAGCTGGAGCCCTTGGTGATTGGGCAGCGCGGCGCTCCTCGCGGTCACTGATTGGTTGCGGCGGGGCGGTCCTCCTGAGGAAGCTTGAACAAGGCGGGAAGCCGTGAGGGGAGCGGGCGGCGGCGGCGGGACCCGGCTTCCCTCGGCTCCGGGTTCAGCTCTTCCCGCGTGTGCCGGGGCCGGAGCTGGAGCTAGAGCTAGGCTCCTCTCGGCCTTCCCTCCGCCGCCATGTCGGTCAATCCCATGACCTACGAAGCGCAGTTCTTCGGCTTCACGCCGCAGACGTGCATGCTGCGGGTCTACACCGCGTTCCAGGATTACCTGTTCGACATGATGCTGCTGGTGGAGACCGTCATCCTGAAGAAGCTGGAGGGGCTTTCCGAGGGCAAGATCAGCCCCCTCCACATCCGGAAGGGCACCGAGAAGTTCCTCCTCTTCCTAAAGGAGAACTTCGATGAGCTCTTCGGTAAAATGGAAGAAATGCTTCTGCAGCTGGTGCTGAACATCCCCAAGAACGTGCTCCTTCCCGAGGACAAGGTCCACGAGCAGTATCCCTACAGCAAAGAGCAGTTCCAGGCGCTTCAGGATGAGATCCATCAGCTGCAGGAGCAGTACAGGGCGGAGGTGACCGCGGGGCAGGCGCTGCGGGCGGAGCTGGAGGAGCAGGAGGTTGTTGAGGCGGAGCTGGAGAAGATATTGCAGTGTTCTGTTGGGCTTGAGAATATCTGCAGGGAGCACTGGAACTGCAGCTTCAGGGAGAGCTTTACTTTCTTGACACCCAGCCTTAAGAAACTGCAAGGTACGCTGAAAGGTATCGAAGAGAAAAGCAAGAAACTAAAGAAGTACGATACTGAATCACGAGATGCTGAAAAAGCAGCTCGCTTAAAATGACAGGCGCTCATCTTTGCAGGAGCATCTCCCATAGTCCTGACCCCTCTAACCCTGCCAGGATCTAGACTGTTGAGCTATGCCTGTTTGTATCTATTTAGCACCAACCCAGGGAAGCAGGGGAAGAAAAAAGCCCTGGACAACCTGGCTCTGGAGACACCTTCCACCACCACAGTTGTGAGCATTAACTGTGAACACAACACAGCGTTCATTTAATTTTAGGATTAGTGAAGAAGAAAAGAATGAGTAAGACCTGCAGGAATGTGTGATTTTCCAGCTCCGGGAGCCAGTGCTTTAGTCAGTGAAGATGTGCCTTGCTAAGGCTATCGCTGCCTTTTAAAGGCCAAGAACTAGGAATTGTGTTGCTTTATATGTCTTGGTTTGGTTGGTTTAACTTTTGTTGTCCAGTGGCCTTTTTCTACTAAAAAAGTTAATTTCATTCATGTTTAATCATTCTCCTGTAGAAGCATTGTGAAGGTGGACTGTAAGGCTTGTGGTCACTGAAGCTGCTTAAGCTTGTTCCAGCTGCACTTGAAGTACATCACAGTCTGTGAGCATCTTCCCACTAGCCTCACCAGGTTTTGAGCCTCCTGAACTATCATGAGCTATCCATACTGATTTCTCCTTTACTAGATTAGATGTTTGAAACTTGTGAATAGTTTAGAAGCTACTGCAATAAAAAACACATATTAAAAGCATGAATACACTTTGCTGTTCTTTTTTTTTCCTGACTTCTGAAGGCTTTACACAGAATCAGCTTGGTAAGAACAGTATCTTTAAGTATATATTGCCTTCATGTGTGGTTGGGATCTGTGGGATTTGGTGGTCAGTCCTGAAATGCTCCCAGAGGAAATTGATTTCCGATGCTGAGCTCTGGATCTCTTTAGTGAATGTTTGTTGAGGTGGAGGCTTGGTTTCAGGGGTGGCAAAAATTGGGAATAGAACCAACAAAGGTCTCCACAAGAGAGCTACAAGGAAGAACTTGACAATGGGGGTGAAATGACCTATCCCTGCCTGTCCTCCAGGGCATGGCTCAGTGGAATTGCTTCCAAACCTCATCAGGTCACTGATAGCAGTCCTCAAAATGTTTGGTGTCTTCTATCAGAACTAAAGAGGAGAATTAGAGGTGTGAAAGGCAGTTGATTCCAGCTAAACAAATGCCATTTAGCTGAAATAAATGAGAGAGCAGCTCTGTGAAGAAAGCAGGACCTTTGCCAGGAGCCCTCTAGAAACATGGCTTGTCAAACTCAACTGCTATTAAAAGCCTGTAACCCAACTTCTCCTCTTCATTTTCGGTCCTAAACCCACTTTTAAGAGTCTAAGTCTTTAACTGTAGGGGGGTGGCTACATGTAGAAGGGTGTTGCTGAATATATTCCCTCCCAAAGAGTAATGACACATCTCACATCCCTGGTGTTTCTGTAGCAGGATATTGAGGAACAATTGCTTGGTGGGAGGGAATGACACTAGTTTTTTAAGTGCCTGCCCGTGAAATTCAGATAAGCATTAAAAGTACAGATCAAAAAGTACTTGTACGCATGTATTAAAGTAACATTTTCAGTTAAATGGTGAATGGACAGACGCAGAAGTTTCACCAGTGAGGTGGTGACGCTTACCTTGCCTGATGCCAACGTGATGGCATGAAACTGGGAACACAGCACAAAATCAGCCCCAGTGAAGGAAACATCCCCATCACTGATCCCGACGCGCAGATGCTGGCCAGAGGATGCAGGCAGCAGAGGGCACCAGGAGACCAGCCCAGCGCTTCCTTCGCAGAAACAGATGGATTATCCCCCCCCCCCCACCCCGCTGTAACTTTCCTGTGCACCAGGAATTATCCAGTGTCTCCTCAGAAAAGGATATCAGATATAAGGACGGCCTCCGAGCTTAGGCAGAAGTTCTTCCCTGTGAAGGTGGTGAGGCGCTGGCACAGGGTGTCCAGGGAAGCTGTGGCTGCCCCATAGTCCAGCAAGCACTCCAGCGGCAGAGCTGAGGTCTGAGGGGAACAAAGTCTCTGTTTCTTCCCAGGATAACACACATTCCTAGTCTGGGACATGCAGGAGCGCTGAGGATGTCCCAGCAGCTGGTTACACCATCAGGACGGGGAAAGGCTTCGAGTCCCTCTGTGGCCATTGGGACTATGATGTGGTCAGCAGTGGGAAAGGAACCAGCACCATGTCCCAGGGGTGGTGGTGCCCCCAAAAAGCCCTGCAAACGCCGGGGGCTTCAGTTCCCAATGCAAAGGGGAAACGAGAGTTGCAATGAAGATTGGCTTTGGCATCATTCACAGCCAATGGGAGCCCTGGGGGCCGGGCGGTGCAGCCCCCTCAATGTATTCACGGAATGAGGATGCAATTAGCAGCTGTTAATAAACCCACACCCGGCCAAGTGCCAGCCTGGGGCCGGGGAGGTGGGGGGTGTACCATATGCCTCCTCATTAAAAGCTTTAACTACAGACAGGAAACGCTGGTGGCAGCCACAGGCTTTAATTGCTTCACCTCTAGCTGTCGGTGAGTCAGCTCCCTCCCTCAGGTGTTTGGCCTGCTGGCCCCATCCCTTTCCCCATCCTCACCCTACAGCAGGCCTCAAGGGGCAGGGAGGGGATGCTCACGCAGCGACATCTCATTTGAATGATAAAAGAAGTCCCGTTATGCCAAGAAAAGTCCTTTCACAGGGATTTTGGCTGGCCCAGCCTAAACAAGAGCACCCCCCTTCCCAAAACAGCCCTAAGAAACCTCCCCTGCCATAAACCACAGAGACTGACAGGCAGGGAGACTGCGCCGCACCAGGGGCGATGCGACTTATCCCGCTTGGTGTGCACTCTCCCTTAATGTGTTTGCACATCACACACCGGATGGGAGATCTCCGAGTGCCTTGGTGGGATTTATGGAAAGCTGCCCTGGTGCTGCCTCCCCCCGTGCCCCAGCTCCAGCATTAAAATAAATGGGGCACAGAAAATGGGCTTTCAGGTCACATTAGTGGCAAAGCATTGATTTACTCAAGCGAAGAAACTCCGTCAGGGCTCGGTTGCTGATGCCTCCTGGCCCTGTTTGCTGGACCTCCCTGGAAACTGCTGTAGGAAAGATCGCAGTAAATGTTTGGCTAGAAAGGGATCACTTTCACATGTAAAATCTTTGTTCCCTCCCCATAATTAAATCATAGGAAAGAGGGAGTGCCACCAACCAGCCTCTGCCAGAGGGAAGCCCTTGGAGGCAGCTGTGCATGATGTGGAGCCACAAACAGGGCAAATCATGGTTCGGAAGCTGGTTTAGCTCTGCCTTGGCTGTAACTAAGGGCTCAGGCTTCTGCTTCAAACCCACCACCCAAAGCAAAGGTAGCAACTGGTTACCAGCCCCCAGACCTGCAGCGTGTAAGGACACACATCTAATACCAGGCCCGGCAGAAGCATCTGCCCATTGCTTGTGGGAAATCACTGTGGGAAGTTTAATTTCAGCCTGAAAAGGGAAAGAATAATAAACTCAGCCAATGAACTAGAGAAATAATAACAGGGCAGGATCGAGCCTTTGGCGCTGATACCCTCGCTGTGTGCCCTTACCCATGTGCCTGCTGCTGGGCTATTGTTACCTCTTGTCCCTACAGAATGGGAATTCTCCTGCTGCTCTGCCTCACTTATCCCTCCGGGGCTGTTATTATTCCTACTTACCCAACTCAGAATGTTATTCCATCCTGTCACCTTAATTTCTAATAATTAGTATTTGCTGTAATGCTGCTGCAGAAGTCAGCTCTTAATGAATATTATAATAAGCACTAAATTATCATTTACTGCTCACGAATTCCATGTTGAAACACAGCCCATTTAAAAGAAAATGAGGGGGAAGCAGCTTTCAAGCCATTTATGTGGCTGGGTCAAACCCCAGCTTGAGTGCCCAGCGCGATCCCAAAACAACCATAAACCCTGAAGGCATTTACTTGCCTGGGACATGCCACTGGCCAAGCCTTGGGGCTGGATGTGACCCACTGAGGTGGGAGCAGGATGCTGCATCCCCATGTTAGAGGGCTGGAACTGGATCATAGATGATCTTTAAGGACCCTTGCAACTCAAATCACTGTGTTAGGAACTGCACTTACACTCGAGTGTCATTTCTGTGGACTTTATTGCCATTTTCTGTTCAGGTCTAGAGTAGAAAAGCATGCAAAAAATAGCCTCTCTATTCATGGTACATATTTACAGTGTAACAGCCATGCGCCGTTACGGTACTGAGTGCATATACATCATGCTTGAATGACAGCAGAGTACATACAGCGTCATAGTTAACATCAAATGTAACAAGAGACTTAAATAGCAACAGAATAGGCCTGTAAGTCGGAAACAGCAGCAAACCTACGCACAGAGGATCTGAATTGTACCCTCCAAAGCTGCAGCTCTTGTTCTCAAATTCACACCAGGTTTTGGAACACTTTGCCTGACGGTTCGTGGTCACTGACGCAGGGCATGGGCTAGCAGGGACTCTGAGCATACATGGCTTTCCTTCGGGAAGGGAAGGGGAAAGGCAGCCACTGATTCCCAAGCTCGTTTCCTTCCCTCTTCCCATAGAAGGCTGCATTCAGAACAACAGGGTCATGGGAGAATCCAGGTTGGGAGAGACCTGATCAGAGCATGGTCTTCTGTAGGAGGCTCTGGGCCAGAAAGGAAATCCCTTCCACTGCTTTGCTCAGCAAACACCACTGTAAATGTGCCCTGGTGAATGGAGAACCTTGGCACCCAAACTAGGCTATACAAACACACAAACCCCACTCTATCTGCCTTCCAGTCTGCAGTATTCCTGCTCGACACCTGATGTGCTCATGCTCTCAGCAGCACTGCAGCACAGCCCTTCCCTCAGGAAGGTGTTTACATTTACTGATCCCCATCCCCTGGGGACAGAAAGGAGCCTCTCCTGCTATCCCCATCCACACCAAGGTGAGATCCCTGCCCAAAGCAAGGACCATCTGTTACTGTGGCTGAACAGTGCTGAGCAGACAGCAAACACTGAGAAGGACACCTGCAAAAAGCAACCAGCCATCTGCACAGGAGGTGCTGGTCCCAGAGGACACGAACAAGACACATCACTGATGCCACCATGACCAACACAGGCCAGGCCTGACTTATCCACACTCAAAATGATAAAGAAAACGTGTGGAACTTATCTTTCAGAAAGCTCTCTTTTGCTGGGCAGCTTCTTGTGTCTCAAGGCACTGAGAACATAGAACATCATCACAGCCCAAGCCACACTCACTCCTGCTGGGGATGTGGTTTCTCTTGTGGCCACAGGCTCCTACATGGATCAGGCTGGAGACACCGTGCTGCAGCCAAAGCTTCCAGGTCTTCCTCCTGCCCCCAGCAGCACAGACACTGGAAACCCCCAACCACAGCCCCCTACAAATACCCTCTCTGTCCTGCACCCCATGGACCTGCTCCTGCTCCAGGGCTAAACCACACGGCTACACCTCATCTGCCGTTTCTCATGGAGACATCACTGGGAAAACCACGGATCAAAGCTGAGCCCCTGCGCAGGGCTCAGTGTTAGAACACAGTGAGTGGTTTTCCAGGCATCCATTCACACGGTGCAATACATCAGTAATGAGCTGAAAACCTCATTTATTTGCAAATGTGACATTCACAGTGATGTATTCCTGCCCAAAGGGGAATACTGCAGTGAATGTCTTCAAGCCTGTGCCAGACAGGAGAGACTAAACCATGGTTTTCACTTAGCACTACCTCACAAACTGAAGGCTGAGAGCTATCGGTTGAGCAGGACAAACAAATCTACTGCCTGCAGACCAAAGAGATGTCTGATTTCCCCCAAAGAGAGATTCCCTTCAGGGTCTCTCAGTCCTTGCACCTAGAAAAGCCAACCAAAGCAGACCAGGGCTGCCTCTGCCATCACTCATCAGGGCAAAAGGACCTGTTCCCCAACACACAGACCCCAGCTAACACAGTTCAGAGCATCCCCGTGCTCCAGGAACAGGTAAGTGAGGATCTGGAAGAAAAAACACACACAAAAGCATCAGAGCATGCCTGCACTAGATCTTGCTTCTGGAGGAGCCCTGCCATGACAAACCCTATCTGCTCCTTCACAGAGGGAAGCAAGACAAGTATCTCACCATCCAGCTGAAGAGAACAACTTTCCTGAGCAGATAAACGGGCTGGCTCACCAGAGCCAAACAAATACCCTCTCTAGTCTCTTCCTTTCTTCAGAGCAGGAGCAGCGTTGCTCCAAGCTGCCCTAAACACACACATAAAGAAGCCAGGATTTCATTTTCCAGCCAAGCCAGAAGCAGAGCATATTCCTGCTGGAGTCCCACCCACCCTTGCAATAAATGTGTTTCTCTTGCTGCTTGTGCCATGTTTACATTTCATTTCATGCCAGTTCTCCGGCTGTCTGAGACATGATATGACTTGTGGAGACTGAAAAGAAAGATGCCCATGGCTGGCAGTTTAACAAGGTTTGACACAAGCTCAGCTCTACACCTCGGGTTATTTCTTGGGCCTCTGGACACAGCTCCAGGAGGATTTCTCTCAGCTGAAAAGGCAATCTTTTCACAGTAGACGTTTGGGATAATCATAAACCATATCCACCCCCTCAAAAAACTGAGGTGACACTTGAGCTGCCCCTAAAGGAACATGACATAGAGCTGATATGTAAAGGATCATTTGGTTGAGGCTGAGAAAAGCCTTGCCCCTCTGGCTCCCACCCTCTTGGGCATCATCAGGATAGCCCCAACAACTGACTGCATTAGCACATTATTCTTACCATATATTAAATATACAATAAGTAACCCTACATTTGCAGTCTCAGAGCTCTTTGGGCACAACCCAAGTATTGCTTAGACCTCAGAAGTCCCAGGGAGATAAGGATTACCAGTGCTTCCTTTTCTCCCTGGGGTAGGGTGACTTCCCAAGACATGTCCATGTCCAAGGTCACTCCTTCACGCAGGCTGAGAGCCCATTTTCCCACAAACTGGAGGACAGACACTTTGTTCCTGCTCTTTCCTCTGGGCTGCTCATCCCTGCCCCTGTGTGCAGCAGGATGTGACGGCATCCCAGCGCGTTGTCCCCAGCAGAGCAGTTTGTGTCCAGAGATCATCCCCTCCAAGGGCAGCGGTTCCTCCTGACCAGGCATAGAATCATCATGGAATTGTAAAACACCAGGTTGGAAGGGACCTCAAGGATCATCTGGTCCAACCTTTCCTGACAAAGCGTGTCCTAAGCCTAGATGTCCCAGCACCCTGTCCAGCCAAATCTTAACAGTGTCCAACGTTGAGGAATCTACCACTTCCCTGGGGAGATTATTCCAATGGCTGATTGCTGTCATTGTGAAAAGTCTTCCTCTTGTGCCCACCTGGAATCTCCCTTGTGCCCATCACCCCTCATCCTCTTCCATGGGACTCTTTGTAAAAAGGGAATCTCTGTCTTCTTTGCAGCCACCCTTTAAATACTGGAACCAGCCCCTCCTCCTGCGTTTGTGGAGCCCCCCTGTACTCTCAGACTTGCCAAGTCCCCATCTCCCTTTTCACTCCTTTTCAATGGGTGCTTAATCTTCATTACAAGGCAGCAGGATCCAAGCAGACCACAGGCCCTGGGGGATGCTGAGCACGCAGTTGGTGAGGGCAGATGCACCAATGCAGGCAGGAGTTACCATCCGGATGCAGAGCACGGGCCCACAGCAGTAACCTTTACACGATCTAATGCCTTTGCCTGCTTTAAAAATTAAAGGTCTCCTCAATAAAATACATCAGCTGCAACATTATTTCCCAATTTCCCAATATTTCCAGGCAAGATATGGCTGTTGACTGCTTCTGGCATCCCACCGGGGTGGCTGAAGACAAGCAGGCTGGGACAGGCAGCAGAAGGCATCAGCAGCAAAGCCCAGCTACAAAACCATTGGGAACCACCAAACCAGACTGCAGTAAACAGGATGGGAACGGCAGCTGCTGCCAACAGCCCTCATACATGTATCCCCTCACACGAAAAAGTTAGGGGACAAAGTCCCAAGCCCTCAGGATTAACCTAAAAAGAGGCAGTAAGATGATTATGTAGGAACCAAATTTACCAGTGTCCTTTATTTAAGTACTACAAAATAAGAATTCAGTCCCATTGGCTTCCCAGGGGCATGCACAGACCCCATAAAGCTCAAAGGAAAATACTGACATTATTTTGATGGATTGATGTCACTGGTTTTTACTCTCTGAGCGTGAGAGTAAAATCCCTGATGTATACACACAGTCTGTATAGCCAACAGCCACTGAAATAGCTGCATTTGCCCTTTGAAGGGGGATCTCTCACCTGGTGTCAAACTGTAGAGATGAAGCTTCTAATCCCAGGTTTAGAAGCAATCTATGGATAAAATAGCAGCATGTGCAGAAAAAGTACAGTCTTAAAATAAAATTAAAAAATAAAGCCTCAAAACCCAAAAGATCATGTTTTAATCTCATTTGTAGCTTTTCCTTAGCCTAAACCCCTTCCATCCTTGGGAGTTACCCCAGTTTGGGTCATTTATCCAGAAATTAAAGTTTTAAAGCATCAGGTACATGATTTTATAGAAGCCAAGAGACGAGTGAGGGGAAGATAATCACCCTTATATAAAATAAACCCAAACCTGCTACTTCTTTTCAGCTTTGAGCAGCATTCATGCGTGGACTGGGTGCAGCAGATGGAGTGCAGCCCTAGGTCTTTGGGAAGAGCACACTTGGTTAGCAGATGTCCTCAGTGGGGTTAAGCCTTCCTGCGTAAGAGCATACCCAATGCTCCAGATCCTTATGACATTCAAAGGCTGACTGCACATCAAAGAAAGGATCCTGTAGTTCTTCTGCTTTATGATGTTGCCCTGACCAAAGCCATTGATGCTGGCAGGATTCACCCTGTGCAAAACTGAGGGGTAAGACGAGAAGGGATAGAAGAGGAAGAAAGGCAGAGAGTGTGAGTGTTCACTCCAAAAGCAAGATCTCATCCTCATTTCCCTGATATCCATAGAAATCTTGCCATCACCTCCAACAAGAGCAGGACTGTGTCCTCATACACAGAAGTGCATTAAATAAAACCGTTGCCGGGTTTTAACCTGGCTTTGATGTAATTGTTTTTCCTGATGCTTGAAATAAAGAATGCAAAGAGCAAAGAGAACATCTCTGGGGAGATTGATGCCTAAGACAACGTTTGGTTTGCTGCGGTACAAATAAAACCACATTCATCAGCCAAGACACCCAACTACAAAGCCCACACATGAAGCACAAGTGGAGAGCAAGGCACACACGGAGGAGCACACGGACACCTGGCATGAGGAATGCAGCTGCCCATGAAGCCAAGCCAGTCCCCTGGAGCAGTGCTGCCCGAGGACTCGCTCTTCTTATTGCTGCTCGGTTCCTCCTTTCTGGTTTCCTGGGTTGGTCCATGTTTGCTTCTGGTTTTGTTTGCTTTGCAGGCCCCAGACTCAGTGATGAGGGCAGATGTGTGCTAGACAACACCACGATGGGTACAACAGCAGCAGCATGTGAGCGACCAGCCCATAACAGCCAGGCAGCTTCAGGATGTAGCTTCGTCTTCACACACGTTGGGCAGCTCCGGGTCCCTGCCTCCTTCTCTGCTCCCTTGTTTTCTACATGAATGCAAGGAAATAAAGAGATTATAGGCACAAAGCAATGTGAGAAATAAAGCAGGGGGTGTTTCTTCCCCAGCTCAACAGCATCAATATTGAGAGGAAACAGGAAATAATCAGCCTGTTGTGCTGATACCACATAACCGGCTCGATGCACTGCAGTACTGAGCAGCTTGTGCCTATGCAATTGTTCGGTGTCTGCACCCCAAAGACTGAGCTTTGCACTTCCCTGAATGCCCTTCTCCTGGCTGCAGCATCACAAGCAGGTACCTGACTCTTGGAGAAAGTCTTGCAGACCAGCTGCAATGTTTCCAGATTACCTAGCTTGCATCTGGGGAGATGTGGTTTGCTTTTCTTTCATCTGAGGTGTTCTTTCACAGGTCAGAGTGCTGGCTTCATACCATAACTGCTTCTCCAAAGCAAGAACAGTTTAATAATTGAAGTAAAAAATAACAATAGGAAATAAGGAGAGGAATAAACCCCAAACCAGACAAGTGATGCACAATACAATTGCTTACCGCTCACTGACCAATGCCCAGACCATCTCTGAGCAGCAATCAGTGACTCCCTCCCAACTCCGTTTTCTACACTGAGCTTGATGTTTTATGGTATGGAATATCCCTTTGGCTAGTTCAGGTCAGATGTTCTGTCTCTGCTCCCTCACAGCTTCTTGTGCCCCTTCTCACTGGCAGAGCATGAGACTGACAAGTTGCTTCACTCAGCAACTATTAAGGATGCAGCTAAGGATGCTAATGCACTGCATGCCAGGGCATCCTTGAGGAGTGACACCTCTACCCAGCCCAGCCATCCATAAGACAGCCCATGACTAAGATTTAACCAGAGAAAACTATCGCAGCTCAAGACTGAATGGAGAGCAGCTCATTTGGGTCAGCCCAGAGCTCTCCCAGTGGGGCATCAGAGGCAGAAGCACAGGGGAGCAGTGGAGCAGAGATGGCTCCAGCTCTCTTTCTTTTGCATAACCACTAGGTATTACGCCTGAGCCTGAATTCCAAAGCTTAGCCTTTCCCAAATTCTGTAGCTATTCACCCTGTGAACATGGGGCTGAACAGCAGTTCCTGCTAAAACCCAGCTGGCCTTCTTTCATCCCTCCCTCCCTCCCTAAAAAAAGGCTGAAATGCCAAAGAATCACAAACAATAGCAATAAAAAAAGCATACATAAACATCATTTTCACACACAGAGAACTACCACAGTAAAATTGCTCCTACAGGAAGAAGGGACGGAGCCGAATGTTCTCACTACCACACAAATCACACAGGCTGAGGAGAGGACATGGGTTTCTACAGCACCCAGGGGAAACATAAACACTGAATTACCTTAAAGATGGATGCAAATATGTGTTTAAGAGGAGCCTGTCCCTGAGAGCAAAACAGTGAGACAAAGAAAGTGATCATGAAGATGATGGCAGCAGGCAAAGGAGCTTGTCTTTCTGTATCTAACAAGCCTAGTGAGCAGATGAAATGCAGGATGGATCATCAGTCCTGTTCATTTGCAGCCTGAAGCACAGATAAAGATGGGCACTGGTAGCACTGGTACAAACCCACTCCAGCCCTTACTGGGGACTGACGTCTGGCTGTGCTTTCCTGGGCTGTGTGATTTAGCACCAGTGGATCACAAGGATACCTACCTGCACCGTGGGGCATGGCTCTTCCTGTGAGACATGCAGTTCTCATCTTGCAGTGAAAATTGTTATGGCTTTTGGTTGGGTTCGCCTCTGTTCTGACACATCTACATGGTACCTATCTGAAATCTTCCTGGGACTGGAGAGACAGACACCAAGCACTAGCAGAGACCAAGGGAGCATCTTCAGTGGACACATCTGGCAAATTTAAACCCAGTCTGCAGCCATTCCCTTGTCAAAGCTGATGCTGTAAACCTGGCTGCCCCGGGGGGATCTCTGCAGCCTAGTTCTGAGCAGCCCTGTGGCACTGAGCCCTGGGACTTTCTCAGCACAAAGCCCCCATGAGACCAGTACCTCTGGGCTGCTTTGGGAAAAACTGTTTCTGCTTGGACACCTGGGGCAGCCAGTTTTTTACCTCCCTCTCGCTCCTGCTTCCTCGTGCCTAAGCCTACACGGACAGAATGGCCCTAAGGGCAGTAATGACTCTTGCCTTCTTTTTGGTAAGGCTGGAAACAGGGTAGGCTTTCTCAGTCCAGCCTGATCCCCCATACAGGAGCTGACAACCACACTTCATCACTCGTAATAGCAGCCATAATGAGAAAGTAAATTGGGTCTGTCAAAACACGGCAATTAATTTGATAGGTAGTAGTTGCAATAAATGAGAGCAATAAAGTGTGGTAAAGCCAGGGCTGACTCAATTAGGAGAAATCTGAAGCAGAAGAAATGTAGCAAACACTGCTAAGAGAAACCCAGAACTTAGCTGGCAATGCTAGAGAGCTCTGGATAGGAGCACTCACACATGAGTTCTAGGTGTGTGGAGGTGCTGCTGTTGCAAAACAACTGCTGAATGGGAGCATCTTCATTTTAGTCCCTTCTACCTGGTGAATGTGTCTGCCATTTTAACAGCTGCCTTTTTCACTTTTCAGTGCTATTAAACAAAGTGATAAATAAGACTCGGGAAAGGATTTGCTTCTGCCAGATCTAAGGAGTGCTAAGAAAGCCCTCTCTCCTCCCAGTACTAATTTAAGAGCTATTTCAAATCACTAGGGTCTTAATGGTGTCCTCTAAAGGAACAAAGGCTGTGGCAAACATGAAAGGCCTCCTGCTATCTCAAAGACTTCTGCACAAAGCCTTTCCAAGAACAGAGCCCAGCATACTGTGTATAGGTAGTGCAGAGAGAAATTAAAAATAAGGATTCAACCACATGATTTAGCTTCCTCCTCTCCAAATCCCAAAGAGGGAGCTTAAAGGACAGATCCATTTTAAGAACCATCAGTTAGACATCAAATACCAGAAAGCAGACTCAGCTGTCAGAGGATTTCCTGCAAAACATATTCTCAGTATGGGCACAGATGTAAGATGCTCGAAGCAGCAGTGAGTGGGGCTCTGGCAATTTCACATGCAGCCTAATTAAATACAATGTGAAACTGGAGTTTTCTAATTGCCTTTCCTCTTTCCTTATATAGAACTGTAGAATCAACTGGGGTGGCAAAGACCTTTAAGATCATCCAGTCCAACCATGACTCCAGGAATATAGAAACACCACAAGTTATTTTCTACCTATAACTAGCAGGAGATGCAGTATTACAAAAGCTGATTTATCCCTTTCCAAAGACACTGCCAGTGGGGAGGAGAAGCTCTGTGGTGGAGAGCTTGGGAACCTGTGGCTTGTTTTTCTCTCAGCTCTTTGTGGGCAAGCACGCAGCAGCATGGCCAGAGGACAGTGACGGCTGTGGGCACTGCCCTTCTGGCAAGTCCCACTTTTGGGGTCCCCTCTCCATCTACAGGGATGGAAATGGCACCTGACATGCAGGAACTCCACAGGGACCTTATGCTACAACAGCACTGTCTGTTCCTGCTATGTTCTGGAAATTTATAGTCATCCAGACTCACTCAAAACTTAACTAACACAGCTCTATTCATAACATTTGCACTGATGTTCTATTTTATATGCCTATTAAAACTGGTTTTACTAGAGGAAAACCCACTGTGAATTAAGAACTGGATGGGTTTAGTGTCTAACTCTGTTTGTCCTGGTGGAAATAACACTGTAATCGAGAGATAACTCAGTGAACAATGAACATTCCCATTTAGACTTGGTTCACTTCAAATCAATGTAATTAGATTCAACAAATCTATTTAAATTTGAAGTAATTTTCATTAGATTCAACCAGTATAGCATTTTTCAAAGGCTGAAACAATAATCCACATTCCCTATAAAAAGCCTCCCTGCTGTGGTGTTTAATGTACAGCACTGTTTGTTGAAGAGATTCAGCCAATGTCTGGCTTTTAAACAGAAGAGTTTTGAGATGAGTCCTCAAAGCTTCAGTCATGCATGAATTAATTTAGGATAAAGTCAATTTTTACTGCCAAAAATTGGCACTGATGGCATGAGACTGAGAAATGAAAACGCAGGAGTTAGTGCAGTGGAGAACTGGTGCATTCAAAGACTGTCCATGTTCTTTTTGGACACTCCTAAGTGCTTACAATGCACGGTCACAGCTCCATCCCTGATCTGACATACCTTGTCAACCAAGGGCACTGGGCACAGCAGCACAACAGTGGAAATGATACACAGTTTTCAACCTGTACAAGAAGCCTGAATGCAAACACAGGGCTGGAATGAGTAGAGACAGGGAAAGATGCTGGGTTTGTATAAGCTGAAGAATTTGTCTATCAGCTTTGGAAAGGAGACAAGTAAAAGTGGAGGCTTACAGCTAATTCTGAAGACCTAAAAAGATGTCAAAAGGGATTAGACATTGATAATATGGTTAATCAGAAACTTCACAGGTACATGAGATCAAATAAACTTTACTTATTCTGAGCAGATAATAAAGCTCCCCGCTCCAAGCAGGAAACAGCCACAGCATCAAGTTTTCCCACCAGCTGTTTGGTTAGTGGCATGGGTTTTTAAGCATCTCAAATGAAGGTGGAAGGGAACAGGTCCATCATGGGAAGAGGCTCTGGGTACTAGAAAAGACCACCTTGAAATACCAATTCAGGCAGGGTTTGAAGAGAAGTCCTGCCTTACTCTGACTACATGACTACATTTGAAGAGAAATGTATGTTTACATTTTAGAGCAATGCAATGCAGTGAGCAGAAATGATAGTGAAGATAGGGGCAGAGAAGTGTCAAATTAGCAATAATTACTTAGGAAGGCAATGAGCCGAGGGAAATAAACGAGGACAAATCCCTTGCGCTAAGCTGGCAAAGGAGCTGTCACTGCCATGCTCTCCAGAGAGGTCCCCACAGCAGCACTTGTGTATGGATGTTTAAATGCTAAACTGGTGTCCAGTACTAACTGGTCATGGACTCAAAGGCAAAGACTTTACTCAAAGTCTCCAATATATACTTAGGCTCTAATGCATTGTCTCCAATACATACTTAGGCTCTAATGCATTGTCTCCAATACATACTTAGGCTCTAATGCATTATAATCCTTAATTGAACTGAGCCCTTAAATCCCAACACACTCATGAGAGAGAGAGAGACTCTTCTATTTGCATTGTCAAAGGTGCATTGAGACTCTTGGTACACCCTCACAAGAGTCTGCTAGGCATGGTACTGGGATTTTGAGTGGGAAAGGATCACTTTAGGATAACACAGCTTTGTTGTGAGCCACAGCTTTACAGATCCTGTGGGGTGGGAACATGAAAACAATTGTTCCTGGTCCAGCAGTAACTGAAGGATGGATGGCCCAGAATCCCAGCTCTGAAAGGGACCAGTAACAAAAATGAGGGAGAAAGAAGAAGAGCCAAGTAAAGGACAAGGAAAACCTTCCTCCACCCCTGTACATCCAGACTATTGTGCTTAAAAACTGTTGATGAATCAAATGGTCATTTATTTGTCTATTCCCTTTTTAATGCCAGCATAGCTATCTACATCCAACCTCCAAAATATCCCATTGCAATATGTTCCACTGTTTCATAACTGCCAGTGTGAAAAAAGTCTCTATGTTTTCTCAACCGAAAAAGCAATGTCAAAGTGTTCTCCACTGTCTGCCCATGTTTCTCTACAGTGTCTCTGCCCAGTCAAACCACGGACAAGCCACATCATCTCATTTTGAGTTTGTAAAACATGCAAACTGCTCATCTGGCACTTCTGTTGTTCATAAAAAAGGATGGAAGAATTAAACCTTCCAATCTATATTGAGAATAGACTGTAATTAAACTTATTTTAGTTCACCAAGCTCTAATCAATCTTTGATCACAGTGTATTACAAACTAACAAGTTAAAAATCACATCCAAGTTTAGCACCTCATGTGTGTTTAAGCCAAACCCATTTGACAGAGAACTGCATCCATAAACAGAGTATTTAGGCTCCTTTAATGCATTGGATTTGAATCCTAGAGGACTTGAGGTAGTTTTTAACCTTTAGAGTTTGGTTTAGCAGGGAGTTTTGTACTTAAATGCTACAGAAAACATCTGCAAACTGCTTTCTTCCTCCTCCCCAAACCCCTTTACTCTGTGTGTGCAGCAGTGCCAGGGCTGTGTATACGTACATCAGTAAGTTCCCTGGAGCAGACATGGACCTCTCTTCCCGCCTTGTCTGAACCTCAAATGGGTTTCCAAAGGAGCGTTTTCTTAGCATAGCCTTCACAAGGATCTTTGGGGAAGCAAAACAGAGCGGTGAGAACAGCAGGACTGAGTGATTCCTTGAAGCTAGAGCATGAGCTAAAGGAACCCACACAACAGCTATTTGACTTCCAGGCAGTGACAGTGCCGCTCCCTTAGGCAGTGAGCTCAGACCCCTGGACACACACGATTGCTGGCAAGAGGTGAAGCAGATGCTGCTGACCATTGCAGTCACTCATGGTAGTCCAAGCCCGTGAGAAGGAGGCACCAGAGCTCTCCTGGGCCATTCTCCAGGCAGGCAATACTGCTGCAGGGTGCTGCTAGCTCCTGCTATCCAGGGGAAAGGATGGTTTCCACTCCCCCAGCTGGCTGTTTGGGCAAGTTAATATCACACCACAAGAGCTGTGAAAACAGGCCCTTGTCATGCTCATCGCTTCTCTCCCCATGAGAAACCCCCCAAAGGTACCTGCATTGTAGTAACTGCCCTTAACAGATCTCCAGCTGGCCACACACAGACTGCCAAGAAAGCCCTCAACACTGGCTGGCAGGCAAGTGCCAGCTGTATACACTGTGGCAGATGTCCTCTCCCTGCTTCTCTGGCCAAGTCACCTCCAGGTTTGGAGCTTTCATTTTGAGGAGCTGAATGAGGTGTCTTGCAACCTCTAGATTAATGAAACAAAATACACTTGGGATGCTTCTAGTGTTCTGGGGTGGCTGATGCCAGGCACTTTGCGGGTGTAACCATACAGCTCCTATTAGAGCAGCCAGACAGATATAAATAGCACTGCTCACATAGTCAGGCCCTGCAGAACTCGGAGGCACAAAAAGCTCACACCAGGTTGAAAGGCCAAGCTTTTCATGCCAGGAGCACACGTGTACCCTCTCACACCTCTTTCATCACTTTAAAGCTTCAGCAAAGCACCATGTTCTTGACCCATGCAGAGAATGCAGTGGGGTATACCTACCACAGCTGGCAAACTCGGGATCGTCTTCACCGAGTTCTTCACCTCCTCCTCTGTCACCTCCACCACAGTACAGTGCTCCTCCTCCAGAGGCAGGGGCTCCTCACCACCCTTGGTTAGCCACGGATGCACCTGCATGGGGAGGAACAGAAAGAGCTGCAGGTCTCCCTTCTACAGCAGAATGCTGGGATGCTGGTCATGAGAGAGAAATGGGGGCACAGGACTTATTTACAGGGGTAAGCTGTCAGTATGGCTGCTTTCCACTTCCAGTGATGCGGTTCAACCAGCTCCCTTGGAAATTGCTGCAATATGTTCATGGGCCAGATTGCATTCCCTAACTCCCAGTATTGTTGCACCCACTGCCAGCATCTTGGAGGAACCCAGCACCTTCTCAATCAAGTTTGAAACACCCTGAACATCTGAGTTATCCAGAGCATTTTCATCTTCGTCTCTCAAGTGCACACACTTCACTTAGGGTTATGCGTGCTCACTGACTGGGAAAATCAAGATCAGATGTGCATCTGCACAAATAAGGATTTAGGTTTGGGTAAAAGGGACCTTCAAAGCTCATCTAGTCCAACACCCCTGCAATGAGCAGGGACATCTTCAACTAAATCAGGCTGCTCATATGCTTAAAATGGAGTACTTGGGTCTGAGTACTGAGGCCTCATGCTACTGCAACAGCCTCCTGCTTAAATAAATAGCAAACAACCCACCTTGCCACCTGGGCACCACGCAAACCTCTAGAGCACAAGGGGGAGAGCATCCTCAAACAGCATCTCCCAAGTAATGCTGATAGAAACAGACGTGCTGCCTTGAGGCTGCTGACCATGCAAGCACCAGAGGAGGAGCACTCTTCCAGCCCCTGTAACACAGGTCCAACACCGACAGCACAGGCTCTGCAGCTAGCAGTCCCCATGACAGTGTTGATTTTCCCAGGGATTCCCTGAGGATCAGGCAGCTTTTGAATAATTTCAATTTAAATAAGTAAACAAGAAAGCTTCTGTCAATATTCCCCAAGCAAGCAGCAGTGACAGAGCTGTTACATGCTGCAAAATGAGCACTCTCCCTTTCTGAGGCCATGTGCCAGAGAAAGCTCCCAAAACAAACTCAGGGAACAGCTCTGCCTCATTAGAAGGTACCAACGGAACAACAAAACCAGCTGAGCCAAAAGACTATAACAGCAATGTCCAAATTACCTTAATTTCAGGGACTGTTATCCTTGTTTCTGGATTTTTATCGAGCATGCGTAGAATCAGTTCCTTGAGCTCTTCACTTATCTGTGCTCTGAGTAAAGAAAACAGCAGTATACAGTTGACCATGGAATTCTAAATGCTCCATGCATGCACAGTCCTTACTGTGGTTATACTCTGTAGAGAATCTGCTCCACTCAGAAGATACTTTCTCTGCAAACCTGGCTTGAGAAAGGAAGGTCTCATTGGCTTGGTTCCTTCTCAGGCATCATGGTCACTGCTACAGGGTTGGGTTGTCCTGCTCTGCCCACTAACACAGCTGCACACTCTTAAAATGCAGGACAAGGGATCAAGTGAATGGATGAAAGGACATTTTTAAAAACAGTTATAGGGGAATTTCAGAGGATGGATTCTGGGACAACAAAACGTAACTGAGGGCAGGACTGGAGCTGAACTGTATGATACAAGAGGGCACTACTTGATTTGCCAAACCTCCATCACGAGCAAATGCGCTGGATGAAACATCACCCTTTGACATCCAGGTTTCAGCTAAGCAGGTTGTGTTAACTAAACTGCTTCCGTGAATGCTGATGGCAGCCAGTTCAGTAAGTGGGTATTTCCTACCTGTACAGCTCAGCCTTGGGGTAACAAAAGGAGGGAATGAACAGACTAAGAGAAATATATCTGATTTTTTAACACTATCTCTAAGATCTAAGTGGAGTGCCTGAGCATAGAAGCCATTCTATTCACACGGAGCCAGGGGTCCTGCAGTCTGTCCCCCTAGTTTGTCACTAATGGTGCAGGCAATGTCTTCAAAACACACTTGATCTGTATTATCAAAGTGCTACTGAAATAAAATGCCAGTGTATGACAGAATTGTATCAGGCAGTTGAGAGCCTGTACCACAAATGGCTTTTGAGATGATGGAATTTGGCAGCATGAAATGTCACTCCCCAGCAGGGTTGGATCTCAGATTGAAAACACTGATGAGGCTATGCCCACCTCCCCTGCACCCCACCAAGCAGAGGAGGGAATAAACTGTCATAAACCTAAACGAAGGCCATGTTACAGGAAGGGATATTTCAGTTAAACACAGCTGCTGTTTAATAACGTATGAATACTTTATGTGGACTTTGGTTATGAGACCTTCAACAACCAACCACAAGGAAACACTGCTTGTTCAGTGAGGAAGGGCAGAAAGTGCATTCAGTTTAAAGTCTGAACACTTTCAGAGTTGCATCAGGGGGCTGTAAGTCCACAGGCAGTATGGCCAAGACAAGGGGAATGGCAGGATGAGCCCTCAGAGACTTCCCATTTCCTCAGCTTCACTGCAGGTAACAATTTAAGTGGGAATGAGAAGAATGGTGCTGCTCCTGAGATGAGCTCCAGGCACAGAGAAACAGCTATGGGGAGTGACAGTGCATTAAGAAGGTTAGAATAAACAGGTTCCCACAGGAGAACCACACTGAGATGGTGTTTTTAAAACACTTAATGTCAGATCTGTGCCAAACCAGCAACAGTGTTATTTAAAATACAATTAGAATACATCATCAGCTAACATTTCTCTGTGTCAGACTTCTACACAACACAGGATTAATGCCATGAGGAAATGCCCTGTAAACAGGACCAAAGTGTCAAGTGGGTTATGGCCAGGTCTCTGGTTTCCCTTTTCTCCATGCTGTACCCGATGGCATTTTTCATCTAAAATGCCTGCACTATCTATGGAATACATCTGTGAAATTTCTCACAGTTGTAGTTCTGTAACAGCTCTCAGGAAAAGGCAAAGCATCACAGAGCTCAGCACCCAGTTAGGAGGGCTGCCAGCACCACAGATCATTTTACAGGGTGCCTGCAGGTCAGCTCTTCACCAGGAGAAACTACACTCACCAGTAGAGCTTCTGGCTCTCTTAATACATGCCTGGACAGAAACTTCTCCAGCTTGCTTTTTAGTTATACCAGTTTCATCAGGGTGTGAGCTAGTCCCATCTACTTTGTGTCATGCCAAGGACTTGCTGGCATGAATGCTAACTGCAGAGTGATAAATATTTACCCCAGCATCTCTAAGGAAAGGGAAGGGACAAATGACGCCAGTACAGTCAGCTCCATCTCTATCCTAAAGGTTGTCAGGAAACAGGCAATGAGTTTCCATGGACTGTCTGCAGACAGGAATGTATCTTTTGTAGCCATGGTGAAATAAATTGAAACCAAAATATTCCCAAGTGTAGCGAGATGCTAATTCTGTGGGAGGCCAAGGTGGATCCACTCCAGTGAATTCCAGCTTTATGTGTGTGTGTGTTGCTGCCTTTATCTAACAAATAGATGTAGTTTAGAGAGAGCTGTCAACACCCAGTAACTCTCTGCTCCCCCACAACCCAACCAGGGGTGCAGCTTTTTTTTAGGCTGGGAAAGCAAGTCACTGAGAAATCCAAATAAAATCACAGCCCAATTATCACTGATGGAACTGTCTGAATGAAGAAAACGTTCTTAGCACAACCCAGTTAGCCCATTAAATGTTAATAACTTACTGCAGAGACAGATGGGAGCAGTCACTTGTAAGCTGACTGCTAACCCAAATACATGATGGCTGGGAGGATGGGAAGGTTGCCAGGGCCCAAGCAAGCACAGAGAACGCTGCCAAGAAAACATAAACCACTTCTGCTGCTGCAGTGCTGTCAAGACCAAGTCCTGCCCTGCCCATAGAGCAACCAGTGGGAACACAGCAATGTGGCATGAGCAGCCTTCGTGTTCTAACAGCCCAAAGACTGGTTTGCTGTAAAACCCCACCAACAGCACAAGGTTCTTGCCAGAGTTGCTCCATATCCATGACTGGGGCCTGTGTTTGCCATCTAACAAGCAGCCTGACCTTGTGGCCACAGGACGATGGGTCCCTTTCAACTCCAGATATTCTATGATACTCAATAAGTGCAACTGGACAAAGCAACTAACTGGAATAGAACTGCATTTATTAAACCTCACCTGACAAATCAGTCCTTTTTGTCCATGAAAAGTTTAGTCACGGCTTAAAGATGACAGCTGTGGATTTCCCTCCATCGTGTTTCAGAGGAATTTTCTCAATATATAACTATTCATCATGCATTGATACTTTTGTAGGGCTGATACGGAGATTACACTTTCTCATATCTGCTGTCAGCTATCAATAAAATGGATTCTAATAAGTCTGTAAGGATTTGGTCTGAAAGGTGGCACTCTGTGTACCAGTTCCTTACAGACTCTCAGTGATGGGGTTCAGAGGAGGAGGAAGGGATAAAACACCGGCTGCACATAAACTCCAGGCTGCTACCTCTTTGTTCATCTCTTTCTAAGGTCCTTGTAGGACAGACCGAGCACCCATTGCTTTCTGCAGACTCAGAAGGAAGCCTGGGACTGCCAAGGCAGAGCCCCAGCCCTTCACTGGAGGGGTCTAAAGATTCAGTGAGAATCTCACAAAACATGCACGTGATAGATGCTGGGTACATGCACACATGAATGGGCTCCCTGACAACATCCCTCCCTTCCTCTCCAATATGAGATGTGCCTTTCATTAGAGTTTTAATTTCCTCATGCTTGTTTTAAATCAAGTCATTTTATCTCTACATTTTTATTAAAGGAGCAATAGGGTCAGAAATTCTTTGCCTGACTACTGGGCTGATTTTGGAAGGAAAGGAAGAATCCAGCTTTGGCTGCTTCATCTGATAGCAATCAGGAGAAATAAATTAATCACGAGCAGAAAGTCATGTGAGGCCTGAAGATGGAGGAAATGCATGAAGGGAAAAGGCATGGTAGCAGGGACTGAGCATATATTGAGTGTAATCACCTCCCGCCAGGCTCCTCTGACAAGACCACAAACACTCATCGCTCGGCACCTCGATGCTGAATTTCCCACTGCTCAAATGGCATGGGAGTGGCCTTGGCATGTCCCTCTGCAATGCTGAGTGCACTTCTGTGGGTTAGAGGATGTGCTGTGCCTGTGCTGCCAGCCAGCCCACATAGCACAGCCCAACAGTCCCCACCATGCAGCTCTGACTATGGCCAACAAGGGTTTCCTTCACTGACCAAAGCAGGGTGGGAGCAGCCTCTTAATAGCAAATGAGTAAATTAATCTGTTTGGGGTCTCTTTCTAGCCCTAGTCTGCCAGCACACAGGAAAACTCATGTTCCTGGAGGATACTGGAGGAGACTGAAGAGTGGGGATGCACCGAGCTGTGGTTGTGTACCTCAGGACAAGCATCCTTCTGTTGGACACTTTCCCCAGCTCCAAATCCAAAGCATGTGTTTACTTAGACTGAGATAAAGATCTATAACCACACTGCTTTTGAAAATGAACACACGGAATCACTTGGTGGTTACCACATGGGGAGAAACACAAAACCTCAACCAAACCATGCATCCAGGGTCAAGTAGCCAGAGCAGAACTTACTAGACCCATGCTGAAATCCCTTCACTTCCAAAGGTTTTAAGAGCCATTTCCTTTACTCCCTGTCCACAGAACATGAACACATGAGCTGCAGACGCAGCTGTAGTGCCTCAACAACATCATCAGCACAAAAACCATGAGAAGGACCCAGAAGAAAGCAAAGCACTTCAGCTCCCCTTGTCTGTCCCCCTGTGGTGACCTACCAAGATTAATGCTGCACAGTGAATAACACTGAGAACTGAACTGTTATTTTACAGTAGCTGAGTAAAGTTCACTTACTCTTCTGGGAACTCCACAGGCTTGTTCTTGATCCTATTATGAAGACCCAGAATATATTCATCTATAAAAGGGCACTGTAAAACAAACAGAAGATTTTCCAGTTGTCAGAGAGCCTGGCATTGCTTAGGTGTTGTCACTCACATACACAAGTATAGTCTCTGTTCTCTCTTGATTCTACACAGAGATGGAGATAAATCAAATCTCCCCACAACAATAAATTGGGTTGTTCCTTATTAAAGAATAAATACAGAAGAACAGCAGAGGGATCTAGGGAATACATAAGTGGATTGGGATACCCCCCTCCATTCAGCCTATCAGGTGACTGTGAACTACACGTTTTCCTTTTCTCTGCTCCACTTCTACCTGCAAAATGGAGATACCAGCCCAAATGAGACACCATTATAGACACAGGTCAAAGAATACTTTCCATCCTGACTTAGCTCTGCAATATCACACCAGGAATGGAGATAGCTCTGTGTCTGTCATCTCCCCTGCCACTTCCTACCCCTGAGCTGGATGCCTTACACCTGTGTGGTGGGATCTGCAGAGGTCAGTGCTTGGACAGGAGGTTCAGGTCACATACCTGCACACACAGACCCCACATACTTGATGTACTGCTTGCCCTGGGAGAGGATGGGAGGGACAAGGGGCTTTTTGTGACAGGACAGGGCAAAGCCATGACAGGACATGGAGTTTGCAGAAGGCAGCTCTGAAGAGTTGGCTCTGCCAAAGAAGACTCTATCTGGCCCACCTCAGCTCTGGCAGACAGAGCTTTCTGTAATCTGGTTTGCTGAAATGCTGAAGTAGCCTGGGACCAAACCTACACCTCCCTCCATGCCCTGTCTGGCTTGTTTCTAAATACAGGCAGCATGGATTAATCCTTCAACAAACTGTTCTTGGTGCTGCCAATGCCTCTCTAGAGCTGTAGCATGAACAATGGCTCTGAACACAGGGATCAACTCTAGAAACCATCCTTTCCACAGGTCACGTTAGCTTCTTCTCATCTGCAGGGTGATGGGGGAAAACAGGAGCTTGCAGAAGACAGGTCTTTGTTTCTAATATTTTCCTTTATTTGGAAAGGAATGAGTCAAAAGCCAGGCAGAGAGACTGCCATGCAGAGCTCCAGCAGCTGAAAGCCAGCTTACCTTCCCGTAAACAAAGCAGTAGAGGGTAATTCCCATGGCCCATACGTCAAGTGCCTGAAAGAAAGCATGTGCAGGCAGTAAATGAGATGCAATCCAGATTATCTGAACGAGCTGGATTTTCCCACTGATTCAGAGAGCATTATTTGTATGCATTGAACATTTTCTGTTGTACTGTGCAGACTCTGCCTGAATCTGGGCTCCTAAAGGCATCTGTAGCATGCCTGAGGAATGAGGACTGTGCTGGGACAGACATTGCCTCTCTTGTCTTTGCTGTGGAGCGCAGTAACCAGCAAGCAGCTACTTCTTCTTACAGATGACACCATGAAAGGCTGAACCTCAAAAGTCTTCCAGGTGAAAAAAAACACATTAGACCATATCCCTATGTCTGCATTACAAGCCTCAGCAGTGCCTCTCACTTTCAGGAGATCAAGATACGACCTTGTTGTGCAGCAGCCCCCTGTGCCTCTTGATTATTTTGGAAAGGAATCAAGTTTCCTTCTTTCCCTTTGGGCAAGGAAAAGACTCTTAACATGGCTCCTGTCTGAGCAGGGATGCACAGTAAAGTGTCTGCCTGCTGCCCAGAACAACCAGTGTGACTTCTGCATGGACTGAACACAGAATTAGAGCTCAATTTTACTTAAGAATAACCCTAATTTGCACCACAATCCCTGAGTGAGCAACACACAAAGGTTGCAGGTGTGGTGCTGCCCTTTGTGCCGTGCTTGGGGGTCCCATGAGACATCCAGCTGTGAGCAAAGACCTACCTTTCCACTGAAACTTTTGCCAGTGTCTGAAATGGCCTCTGGTGCCATGAAGGCTGGTGTCCCTGCCGTGCTGGAAAGCTGGGCATCATTCCCTTCAAATTGATTGCTGACTCCAAAATCGGCGATTTTGACATGCCCATCATCTCCCAAGAGCAAGTTGGAAGGCTTGATGTCCCGGTGAATGATCTTCTGGTAGTGCACTGAAACAAAACACAGGAGCATGGTCTGTCACAGCAGCCAATATACCCAGGGGAAGGAAACCTGTCCAGAAGGGCACCTGACTCAAAGCTACTGCTGTGTATGTAATCTAATGTAGTAGCAGTTCCATTTCCTATAGCCAGTCCTTTCTGGTGCCTCACTGGGACGTACACCAGAGTACAACACTCAAATACATCTCTCACCAGTAATCAGGCAAAGAAGAGACATGAACCCAGAAACACCCCAGCCAGGGGGACCACGCTTTGCTGTTGGAGAAGGAACCACTCAAACTCTGTAGATTTGTTTGGCCTTATCGTTTCAGCTGGTGGGTTGAGCAACTTGCTGTATGAAGCAGGGAGTGGCAGGGAAGTGGTTGACTCCTCAGGAACTTGGAGAACAAGTTTAAAGATCAAACCCAATTTTCAGAACCCAAAATGACCCCAAAAGACTCTACCGAACAGGAGATGAAATGCACCAAGCCTTTACTGCCCTTCGCAGGGGAACAGGACCCCTCGGCCTCCCTCTGCCACTGGCCACAACCACCGTTTTCACATTTCCTTCTTGCAAACAGAGCATGGGGGTTTTTTATGCCTCCACATGAGCCCTTATCTCCTAGGAAACATGTAATTGGGTGGAGGAAATGCTGGTCTAACCCTTTCCTGCTTTACAAACCTGGTCCACACATTGCCATGAAGGCAGCCTGCTCTACAGAGCATCCCCATTTATGGTTTAGGATGAAGAAAGAACAAGCTTCAAGTAACTGTTCTGCTCTTTTCAAGCCAGCTTTCCAGCAGGCTGTGTCTGGGGAGGGGAAGTCCCACTCGGAGGTATGTTTTTCTGGAAGGACCTCTTGTTAGTTTGAAGCACAGCTGGGGGATGCTCTCCTTGGCACATTAAAGAGCCGATGCGGAGACCCAGCAGACTAAAACCCGCTGGGGAGCACTGGTGCTCACATCCTCTTTCAGACATGCAGCAATTAACTGCGTGGCCACGTTGAGATGTGAGCCAGTTAATGTCATAACAGCCTGGCAAGGCAGTGAGGATAAACATGGCAAACCCTGCAACAACAGTCATTATGAGGAGACATCTGCTCCGCAGCGAAGCTGGTTGCAAGCTGACATTTCGTTATGATAATATAGGGAGAGGAAAAAACAAGTGAGGGGGAGCAAAGTTTTCCTTCTGGAGATGATGAGCTGCCTTTCAGGCAGGTGTCTGCCTGATACCACAAGGATAAGATTCCCAGCGCCTCTAAAACAAACAATAAATACAGGGCACAAATACACACGTACATCCCTGGAGCTAAGTGTGGAAACTGAGGGAGTTAAACTAGGCAAACAGGTACTCTAGGCTTCTTATTATTTCTTCTATACAGGAAAGTAAAAATCCCAGACCAAACCCATAAACCAATTCCCATATCAAATAACTATTTATTTTGTAGAACCCATTCTCTGCCTTTGTGCAATCTAATAAAAGCAGAGGGAAAATGCAGGCAGTTTGCCAGCTGCTCTGTGTTTGTTCAGTGCCCAGCTCAGCCTGGTACCCAGCAGATCTGGGCACTGCTGGCTGTTAGGCACAGAAGCAATATCAAATGTTGAACAAATAAGAAACACATCCTTCACAAAAAGGAAAGCTATCAAACACTAGGGTCAATGAACGTGTGTGCTCCCCAGTCTAGAACACCCATGTGCTTGATGTCAGTGTCAGGGACAGTCTGACCACTACTGCACAGTGCCTGAAGGGCAGAAGAGCACAGCTTGTGCTCTCAGGAGTGAGCCTGACACATCCCAGGGCTTTGCAGTGCAATGTCAGCCAGGTGCTTCTGCAAACCTGGCACAGTTTAAATCATATACCAGGATGGGAAAGAGATGGGTGCAGAGGGAAGTGGGTGGCTAGGTCAGGAGCAGCAGTGTCCAACCAGGCACCATGCTGCTGTTTGTGTGACAGTAATGAAAGTCTTGTGCCAGCTGGCTCCAAAGACTTCTGCTATCTCCAAATCCTCTGCCTCCTAATCCAGCTGCCTTGTACACAGCCATGAAGGGAGAAGGATGTGGGACAGGAATTGTGCACTGAGCACCAGCTGGTGTAAGTGAACAAGGCTCCATCACAGCTGCAACAATTGTAAGAGCAACTGCTCATGTTTGCCAAGAGATGATTTGGAGTGGAGCTGCAAACCTGATGAAGGCAACCTGAAATCTCTTTTCTGCTCTGAAACAACACAGTTCTTACAGTCCCAGTGTGTCAGCTGCTGTGGGCATCCTCCCCAGCACAGCTATCCAAAGCAGGCTTCAAAACACACAGTCTTATCCTCTCCTGCCCTGTGCCTTGCCACTGGTACAGCTCAGTACAATACAGGGCTGCAGAAAGAAGAGTAAAAGATGCCCTCCAAATCATTCCCAAGCAACAGAAAAACCTGGCTTGTTTAAGAGCTGCAGAAAGGCAGCAGGACTGCTCATCCGGAGGACAGAAACACACCTAAGCTCAGAAAAACTTCCCAACCCACCAACTCCTGCTGCAAGGGCAGATCTCCTGCAGGTAACACATTGCAGGGAGAAGGGCAGGAAGCAACTAATTCAGCAGGGCTGGCCAAAGGCTGACAGGCAGAGCAGTGGGATGTGCCTGCAGTGACACAAGCATCACTGCCACATGCTGCAGAAGGAGCTGGGGACAGAGCTGTCTTGCAGGAAAGGTACTGGTTAAACCAGTGTGATCTCCAGCACAACATGCAGAGGGAAAGATGGTGTTATCCCTGCAGAACTCCAGAGGGAGAGCTAAGCATCTCAGAAATAAAAGCCTAATGATACCCTCCAGACTGCTGATGACTGTACAGAAGGGACAGGACCCACAGAGCCACCCAAGGAGAGCAGGACGGCCACAGTCAGTTAAACACAATCACCAGCACAAATTAACCCTCTAATGTCAACAGCCTGAAGCATCTGGGAGCAAGTTTATTCCCTCTGCAGATGTTAAGAGCAGCAGGTAGGCAAGGGACGTTCGTTAGGATTGCTATTCAACGTCACTGCAAGCCAGGACCAGAGGTCCCAGAAACAAAACACTCTCTGTCCTTATGATTAAGGACCCACTGTGATGCCGCTGCTAGCAAACAGGAGCAGGGCTGTGTCAGGCACAGAAAGGACAGCACTTCCAACACCTGAATAAAAACCACAAATGTGCTTTAAGGAAGCATAACCAAAATAGCTCTCTGTAACAGCTAAACTTGCTCCATCAGGGTTTGGGGATTATTCTTTTAAACTAACCCATGACCTCCTCGGGAAGGACCATCCCATCCATGCCTCCCTTCCAGGCCCCACCTACCACACACAAGGGGGACATCAACAGCTGAAACGCACTCATTCCCATGCAAATGTACTTGTCTGCATCCCTCCCAAAGTCAAAAATCCTGGAAAGGATCCTGCTCCTAAAGCAGAGGCCAGCAGCTCACAGGAACAGCCTCCCTGGGCTCCAAGATGCTCTGTGCTTTCTGTGCTGACAGGCCCAATTCGAAGAACAGATCAATACCTCTTCATAATGAAAATGAAACAGTGTTAAGATATCACAGAGCCCTTAGGAGAAAGCCTGATTCTGCAGCACTCTTAAATTCGGTTTTATTAGATCCATCCTTCACCTCAGTGGAAAGGTGACAGAAGTTCAGGGCTATTTGCATCTGAATAACAATTCCATGGATTTCTAGAGCATCAGCTAGGCAAAGATCCCAAAGCACATTAGAAAGACTTGTTCGCTAACCTCAGAGCCACCCCATGAATAAGGCAGGCAGGACAGGGGAGAGCCCACGTAGGACACTGCCATCAAAGCCTGCGTTAGAAAGCCTGACCAGGCACATCTCAGGGTGATGTTTCACCCAGCGGGGCTCAGAAACAAGGGAAATCACACCTAAAAGTTTAGACTGTCTCCTGACTTCAGGCACGGAGTGCAAACACCTAAGAAAAGCTGGCTTGAAGGCTAATGCTATGTGGTGGAGAGATACAACCTCAGAGGATTCGGAGCAGTCAGGCTGTGAGCAGCAGTTGGGAAAGGACTATCTCTTCCTCTCACTTACAGACATTGCATTACAATAGCAGGTATGCTACACCTACTGCCTGTAGCAGCTGGGATGAACCCATGCTTGGCTGTTCAAATTTGAGAGCGTATGAAATAACTGCCCAAAATAAAAGGTCTCTGAAAATCTGGCTTTTCAGGACTTTGTTTCTCCATTATGATGTATTTTAAGTCAGTTGGTATTAACAGCATGAATACAATAGTCTGGGGTTTTAAGTACAAACCAAAGTAACCCAGAGTTCCTCAGAGCAATGAGGATGTGGGGTGTGCCATGCGGGGGCTGCCCTCTGCTCCTGCTTTCACACCTTCCCAAGAGGAGCAGAAAGAAAAGCACCCACAGGGCTCCATGAAGAGCTGGTCCTTATGGCAGTCCCAGTATGGACTCTGAAAGCCTCTTCAGCAGCACACCTGGATTACTCACATCTTCTCAACAGTTTCAGGCAGTCTGTACCCACTTCTCCCATTGCTTCATCAGCACCACAAACATGGTTCCTCATGCTTGGCCCTTGGACAAGACGACAGCGTGTCTTTAATGTCAAGTGGCTGTCACAGCTGCCTCGTGGCACTCTGCCATCCAGATGCCTCCAAGCTTCCAAACAATCTGGGTGCTGACTATCCAGCGAACGAGCCCCTGGTCTGTATTTCCAGGCCACAAAACATGCCCATTGAGGACATTGCTTTGGCACATGCTGAGCATCATCTCTGAAAAGCCAGCGGGTGATTTGGGAATGGTACTAAAAGAAAGCAATGGCTCCTACCTGCGAGTGCAGCACACAGCCCTGTCTGGCCTCTCTGCGTGTCTCCTGTTGCTCTGCCTCTCTGCTCCATCACTGCTTGTTAGCACAGCTCCATTGAACACATCATTTCTTGCTGTTCAGTCCCTTGGCTTTTGCTGCAATGTGCAACTCGCTTCACAAATGCTTCCCCCATTTCTAGATCCCACAGGTCA